AGGCTGAGTCCACATCCATTTGTTTCCCAAACCTCCCCCCCCCCCCCGCCCCCCTTGAGGCACGATCTATGTAGACCCTCCAGGCTAGCCACCCCGAAACTCTCCAATCCTTCTGCCTCCTGTGTTATAAGATGGGTCATACACTACCACACCTGGCAAAACAAAACACAACCACCCCACCCCGACCCCGAAATTTCATCAGAATGTTTGAGACATTAATGTTTGTCTCAGATAAAAAAAAAAAAAAAAAAACCTACAAGCTTCCTTCTTCAAGGAGTGACAGGAGCTAGAGACTGTCCTCCATGTGTGGCCTTGCAGTACGCTTGGCTTTGCGGAGGACGACATGGGAAGAAGCGGGGCGAGGAGTGAGTTTGGCATTGATAAAAGTTCACCTGCTCAGAATCAGATCATACGAGGTTGGAAACACATACAGGATCATACAGGCAGGAAACTCCCGTATAAGCTTCATCTTCAGGGTGAAGACATTTTGGCTAAGGGAGAGAGCATCTTGCCCAAGGCCACTAAGCTAAATATGGGAACACAGCTTTGATGCGGTAATTATCAAATCGAATAGTAAGTGAAGCAATGCCCTAGAAATTTTCCACCATGCACCTCCCTGGAAGCCTAGCATTTTAAACCATTAGTAGGTGATACAATGCGCCCACAGAGAATAAAAGAGGATGATAAACTCACCTGATAAAAGTCAGCACTAAAAAGACCGTTCAGAGGGGCTTAGTGGCCTATGTCTGTAATCCCAGAACTACAGGAATGGAGGCAATGTTTGTGGAGTTTTTAGGCTCAAAGGATGGATGGACTCTGGCAGTCCCTACAAGCTAGGCTCAGCCACCCCATTCCCAGTATACCAACAGAGACAGGTAATAGGGAACAGCAAGGATAGGTTTATCCACTGTGGCCCCATTGGGAAGAACAAATAAAGAGACCCAGTACCACCCAGTCTGTCTTCCTCTGTTAGTACAGAGGTTTACATTTAAATAGAGCGCAAGGGGGTATGCATAATTAATAGTCCTGATCAAGCTTGGTCTCTTATCATGGTCTTGCCTGCAAGTCTGTCCTAAAAAGTGGTCTGGTAAACCTGTGGAACCTCTTTCTCGGAGTCAATTTCTTTTCCCGGCACTAGGGCGTGAGCTTTTTACTTCCATCAGCAAGAGATTCCTGGGGAAATTTTAGTTCTTTGGAATCCATTATTTCAATAATCTTATAGCCTGGCCATGGGATTAAGAGTTCAAGGCTAGCCTCATCTACAAGGCAAGTTTCAGGCCAGCCTGGGTTCCATGAAACCCTACCTCATAAACTAAGCCAAAGTTCCGTTTAGGTCCTGCTTTTGAATTCTTTTGTTGATTTCTAGGTGTTGAAGGTTCCCAAGGCCTTTGAACTTTGGCTTGAGGGTCAGAGGTGAGCAGAAAGGAAAGGTACCGATTTCAATTCTGTGCTTGTGAGTGTTGTCTAAGGACACATTATGGAGCTGCTCTCCAGCTTGGAGCATGACTTGGCCTCTGGTTCTTGCCAGTATTTTACTATTAGAGCCCACATAGGTTCAGATAAAAACCATACTTCCTGTGTAGTTCAGAGTAATGAACAAGGCTCAGGAAGCCAGGGAATGCACTCAGTTATCCGTTGCCATCTTGATTATTTATTTATTTATTTATTTATTTATTTATTTATTTATTTATTTATTTATTTATTTATTTATTTATTTATTTATTTATTTATTTATTAAGGTAAGTTTTGTTCAGTGACTTTGGGACAGGGCTGTGAGTCAGAGGTTGGCATCAAAACCAGAATAGAAGCCACAGCCTTCTCTGGGGATTCTACTCCCGGCTTCCAATCCCCAGATCACAAAACTTTCTAATTGGAAAGAAAGGTTCTTAAACCAAGGCAGGGATTTGTTGGCGCCGCCCGACACTGACTGAAAAGGCGGGTCAAAGGACTGTCTGATGAAAGAGAAGTTGGATTCACGTGTCAAAGTGAAATTTTAAAAGCATTTCCACCCGGAGGTTTACTGTTGAATGTAAATTGGGCAATCCCACCCCAATCCCTGCAGATATTGCTAAACCAATTAACTCTGAAACGACATTCAAGCTCCCCCCCCACCACAATGCCTTTGTTTTCTGAAAGATTTTATTGACAAGCTGACTCACGAAGTTCCTGTGTAAACTGACTGTTTCTCACCCCTCAGCCTGCAGGCCAATGGAAGGCCAGTTTTATATCTTCTCTACAGCCGGTATTGGGTAGACCTCGCCCTGTATTCACCTAACTGTGGACCAAATGGCTCACACGCTTCCATTAAGAAAATTATCTAGGGTGCTCACACAGTATCCGGGTAAACACAACGCTGTCATTTAGAGCTCATTTGCTGACCATTCACGCTGCTCAAGGCAATTCCTGAACTGGCGGAAAAGGGGTTTTGTTGTTTTATTTAATATCATCTTCTCCACAAAAAGCCTCTCTTAGCTTAAATGTTCTAAGTCCGAAGAGGCTGTCCCCCTCCAGAAACAGGCGCGCAGGCGCCGGCACGCACACGTGGACACACACACTCACACGCGCCTGCCTACAGCCCCTGCGTGTGACTCGCCTACGCGATTTATGGGCTTCTCCGGCACGGATTACTGTCAGGTGCAGAAAGCAGCCCTTTGTCCGGTGGGCATCTCCCCCCCTCCCAACCCGGATTTGACTGTTATTTACGGGCCACGTGAGCACTGGGCCCGGGCCTGGCCGGCGGGGGGAGGGGGCCTTCCCTAGCGCAGGGGAGACAAAGGCTAGCCCAGCGTGGCCAGCGCCACTTGGGGACAAACCCCCCACTCTCACCCCACTCCTGTAACTCGGGTGGAATCGGCCCAGACCTGGCTCGGACTGAGACTCCTTGGAGAAAGGTCGTGTCAAAGCCTTTGTAAAGCAGTCCGTGTTTCCTTGCTCCGGGAGCTGGGACCTGCTCCCAGCTGGGATTTGTAAACTGCGGGGAGCCACCCCCCCACAAGCGCGAATCTGGCCCCGGCGGCTGTCGAGGTACCAGGGATGCCTAGGACAGGGCCACCCAATGGTGGGCTAGCAAGAGGGGAAGCATGAGATGTCCTCACAGTCCCACTCCCCCACCCCCGCGCAGCAAGAGAAACAGGACCAAGCTCCCTTTGCCCTCCTCACTGGTGCCGCGCGCCCTTGCTGCCCTCCCAGCCAGAGTGACCGGTGTCCCACACCCTGCCCCAGGCAGCTTGCGTCAGTCTGCTGTTGCGGCTCCTTCCGGAGCCCGGATTAGTGTGATCACGCACTCCAGGCGCCAAAATTTAAGGCGCGATGGGGGTCACTAAAAACGTCAACAACAAATTAATCCACATGTAATAATTTATCTTTTAAACTGACAAAAAAAAATCCACGAACAAAATTAAAAATGTAAGGCAGGAGGAACATTGCAGTGCCATTTTGGAACCCGAGGCAAAAATGGAAAGATCTCCACGGATGATCAGCGCCCCCACACAGCCCACTGGACCCAAATCGGGGTGTTGGGGACTTCAGAGCGCACGAGGAATGGAGAGCAGGTAGAAGAAGGCCTTGGAACCGGTGATGGGGGCTGGAGGTGAGCTCGGGAGAGCCGCTCCGCAGGGAACAAGGCAGAGGGCCAGGAGAAGAGGGTTGCACTGGGCAGGAAGGACCCTGGGGGTTCGGCGGCCCTCTTCCACCCGCGACCTGAAATGGAATACTCGACCTCGCCGCCACCAAGGCCGCGAGCGAACCCCGTAATTCCCTCGTTCGGTGATTAATTCTTGCTAACAAGACTTGGCAAGATCTCGGCAGAATAATTTTTGGCTTCTGGAAGGTCCCCACCGCGTGCGCGCATAACCTCCCCTCTTGCCAAAAGCAAGCCCTTGGGAAATTAAATGCCTCTGGCAAAGTAAAATCAGGGTGCGGGTACTACGTGACCTAGAAAGAGGGATGGAGAAACTCGAATTGCCTCCCAGGCTTACTAAATTTGCTCAAAAGGTCGGTCTTCGTATGGACACTTTTCAGTATCTTGCTTAAGCACCAAATGTGGACCCTAATAGTCATTTCCTGAGAGGACAGTTCGCGTGTGACTAAGAGGGAGGTGAGGACTCCCCCCGCCCCAAGCAGAAAACGTCGGGGTATTCTCCCCTCCCCAACCACAGCTAAATAAACATGTTATAGGAAGCTTGGGCCGGAGTGCGGCCCAGTTCTCCAGCATAGGCATACCATTCGGCTAATTAACGCCCCCTCTGGGTTGTAAAGTAACAAACTCCACACTTCTCTTTTGTTACTGGGCTTTGGCGCGAGGGCCTTCCCTTTCATCTTCTAAGAGAAGTCGGGGTTTGCCCACGTTCCACGGGAAGCTATAAAGCTGCTATAATGGGTCAGGATGGAAATCGATCACGCTAATGTATATAAAACCAACGTCTGGGGGGAGGGGTTTGGAATAATAAAAAACAAAACAAAACAAAGCACAACCGGCAGGACCCGAAGAGCCAGTTTCAGTCCGGCCAGAAGAGGTCCCGAGCTCTGCGGAGCGGCAGCCGCAACGCGCTGGGGTCCACGGAGCTGCGGGAGCGAGAGCTAGAAGACTCGCGGGGGAGGAGCTCGCAGAGGCCGAAGACCGCCGAGCCGAGAGCCCAGGCCTGGGTTAGGCCGGCGTCGCCACCCGCTACTATCTCTGCGCGGACGCCGCGCTCCAGGGCTAAGGAAGGGCAGGGAGACGCGCCGCAGCGCCATTCACAAAGTCCGGGAGCTGCCGGCTCGCTGGCGGGTCGGAGGCTGCCTCCTTTTTCCTCTAGGTCTCAGTTTTATGAATGGGCCTGGCAGCGAGCACCGGGCGCCCTGTTTACTCCTCTCTTTGTGACGTCGGGTTCCCGTGACTGGGTGCGAAGGGGGCCGGCGCTCCATTCACGAGCGGGGGTGGGGGCGGGGCGGGGCGGGGAGCTCGCCCGGGGGGGGGCGGGGCCTGGAGAGGGTAGTAATGACTCTTCCCTCCCCCGGGAGAGCCGGCGAGCATTAATAAATCTCTAAGCCGAGGAGGCAACTCTGGCTGGGGCAGTGCGCGCAGCTCCGGCGGGGTGTTGCGTGGAACGGCGGCGCCCGAGCGGGTGGCGGCAGGAGCAGCCCAGCTAGCAAAACACACTAGAGGCAACAAACCGAGGGGAACCCTCTCTCCCGTAAACACACTCCCCTCCTCGGCCACTTTCCCCGGGGGGCCGCGCGCCTGCCTGCTTTGGAGCCGGAGAAGGCTCGGACTGCTATGTAACGTCGAGGCTGCGGGAGGAGAGGAAGGAAGGGGTGTGGGGAGAAGAGGAGGCTGGGGCCAAGTTTGTGGCCACTTCGACAGGCGCCCTCTTAGCCCTCGCCCGCTCCTTCTTGTAGCCTGGTTGGCCTGGGTGCCCTTGGCCTTCCTTCCCCAGCTCCCCAGCTGCTGCTGCGGTTCCCGGCGACATGGTGACGATGGAGGAACTGCGGGAGATGGACTGCAGCGTGCTCAAAAGGCTCATGAACCGCGATGAGAACGGCGGCGGCGCGGGCGGCAGCGGCAGCCACGGCGCCCTGGGGCTGCTGAGCAGCGGCAAGTGCCTGCTGCTGGACTGCAGACCGTTCCTGGCTCACAGCGCGGGCTACATCCGAGGCTCGGTTAACGTGCGCTGCAATACCATCGTGAGGCGGAGGGCCAAGGGCTCCGTGAGCCTGGAGCAGATTCTGCCGGCCGAGGAAGAAGTGCGCGCCCGCCTGCGCTCTGGCCTCTACTCGGCCGTCATCGTCTACGACGAGCGCAGCCCGCGCGCCGAGAGCCTTCGCGAGGACAGCACCGTGTCGCTGGTCGTGCAGGCGCTGCGCCGTAACGCCGAGCGCACAGACATCTGTCTGCTGAAAGGTAAACGTGGGCGCCCGGGGCGCGAGCTGATGGGTAGGTGTGTAAGGGACTTGGCGGCCTGCGCTCCGCCGGGCATGGGAAGAAGTACCCGAGTGACTTGGGGCTGCGGGGAGTTCCCGTGCGTGTCGGTGTGCATGGTTTTGAGCCCAAGTCTGGGGTGGGGGGGGGCGTGCTGGCGTGTTTCTCCAGTCACCTGCAACCCGCATGCTTCCGGGAGTTTAACCGTGTTTGTTGACAAGAACGGTTCTGGCCTGGGTGCTGTGCTGGCCGCGATTTCTCTGCTCAGCCCAGCTTCGAGGGCTGAGAACGCGCTCTGAAGTCCCACAGGGACAAGAGAGGCCTGTTGGTTCGGTGTGACCCCGAGAACCCTAGAGAGGAGTGAAGGAAGGTGAACGCCGAGGTGGGATCTGCCTCGAGAGTTCGTACACAATCCTGCCTTTGGTACACGCAGGGAGGAGAATTGGGTTGCAGATCTCGGGAACGTTATCTCGTGTCTCTCGCTGCCCCAACTCAGCTTTTCTGCAAGTCGGCCAACTCCTCCTGCCCTGGGCTAGACCTAGGCTCCTGGAGCAGGGAGGCTGGAGCATGTTGTATCGGGGGACACCAGGCCGAACCGCGCCTCCCCTTGCTAATCCCGGCAGCGGAGAATTACCACCTTTTGTTCACACACCATTCTCGACTCTGCTGGCGGCGCGTGCCTGCTTGAAGCGAACCCTGGCCTCCATAGGCGGCCGGAGAGAAGGTGGTCTGTCAAATTGAGAGGTCAGACACCCCCCCCCCCCAAAAAAAAGATCGCACACTATCCCAAGTCGCTGGAGAAGGGGACCGGTGGCTCGCCGCACCTGCTAGCCCGGCGGCAGTGCGGGCCTGGGGCTGCGGAACCGGGCGGAGAGCGCGGGGGTCGGGCGCCCCCTGCCGCGCTGCGCCCCTACCTCCGGCCGCCGCATTCCGCGCATTCTTTCGCACGGGGTCGGGTCTTCGCTTTGGAACCCGGGAGGTATTTCGGATCCCCGCCTTCCGAGAGCCGCCCCTTTGCCCTGTCGTGGCTCTTCGTCCCCTCTTCGTCCCCTCTTCTAGACTTTTCCTCTCGGAATCTGTCCACCGCAAGGAAGGGAGGCCGGGGGAGAAAGCTTTTCGGAAAAGCACCGGGAAGCGGCTGGGGTGCGGGCGAGCGGGGCTGGCCCGGCGGAACAGCGGGGGGCTTTGTTCTCCGCAGTTGTTTCCTGACCATTTGACCCGTCAGCTGCTGGGGAAACGCTGCTGTTGACCTGAGGCTGAACTGCTAAGGCGATTTTGCTGACTTTTCTTTCTTTTTCCGCGAGGGCCGCCTTTGGCTCCGCCAGGCGAGTCCTAGTCTCTCAGCCTTCGCCCTAAAGCGTTTTAGGAGCGACTGCCGGAAAGCTGGTCCCGGATCCCGCGACCGCCCAGCGGTCCGAGCCGAGCCCCACGCGGTACCCGCAGCCCCGGGTCAGGCGCAGGTCCCGTGCCCTCCGAGGTCCTACTTGGACCCCAGGCTGCGCGTCTGTGCTATTGTTTCCGTCTGCCCGCTCTCCCCAGATCGAGATCATGAGGGTGGGAGAGGTGAAACTGTGTAGGGGTGAAGGTACCCTGGGGGAGCCTGGGCTGTCCTCGGTTCCTCAGCCCTTGGAGAGAGGGAGAGAGAGAGAGAGAGCCGGGGCAATGCCTTTCTACTCTGGCTTTGGAAGCATCTAAGCCCCACGTGGAGTCAGAGATTGTTTTGTTTTTCTTCCTGGAAGAAATCCGGAGGGGACCGCCCTGGAGCGGCAGCTGTGGGCCTTCGCCCTGAGCCCTTTAAGGCTTCCTTCCGGGGCGCAGGCTCCCGGACGTGGCGCCTAGGAAAGGGAAGCATATTTTTAAGGTTAAATCTCATGGCTCGCGGCGCTCTACCGGTCCTGATTCGGATCCGGAGACCCGGAGGCCAGACCAGTTCTGAGAAACGCTTCAGGGCAAATATTGACGTAAGACTGGCCGGACAGGTGGCCTCTGGGCGAAATGACAGTCCCCTCCCTAATGGGTGGCCAGAAGCCTGGCCCACAGAAAGACATTTCCTTCAAGCGAGGCTTGACTGATCTCTCTGCCTTCCCACCTCCTTCCCGTGTCGTCTGCCCTTATGGGCAGGGAGGATCACCCCTTGCCCCTCAAAATCCAAAGGCCACTTCCCAGTCCTCTGAGGTAGCGCTCCTCTAGCCCTGGCCACAGGCCTGGACTGCTCTGTTTTCATCTGTTTGGGAACAGCTGCTACCCCAACTTCACCACCACCCCTAGCTAAAAGTTCAACATGCTGCCCTTGGGAGCAAGAGCCTAAAATGAGAGAGTTGGGGGGGTGCCCCTTGCTCTGTAGAGGTAACAACATCTGTCTGCCAGCCTTAGTTTTATGTCAACGTACGTACTGAGCCACAACCTAGTCCCTTCTCTCTGCCAGCTGTTGACCCGCCTTGGTAGAGAGGGCAGCAAGAAAATGTCTGCTGTAGGAAGGAGCAAGGAGCAGTCATGGGAACTAACACACACACACACACACACACACACACACACACACACACACACGGGGGGGGGGGGGCTGCTTGGAAGATGAGGCTTGGGGGGAGAGAATCGCGGCTCAGAGACCTGATAGGAAGCTGGGTAGGTTTGTTCTTAGTTATCAAAGGGGTAATTTGGCTCATCTGGTCTATCAGGGCTGCCTCCTGCTGGTGGAGTGTGGGGGCAGACAGTGGGTAAGTGGGAGGGAGACATGGTGGTGGGTGCCTACCATCCCTGGGAAGACAAAACAACAGTTTCAGAAATGATGTCCTTCCTGGCCTAAGCAATCAATCGATCAATTTGTCGTGGTCCACCCTCACCCCCCACCTTCCCCTACCCCCACTCCCTACCTTCCCCCCAACCCCTAGTTAGTTGGCGTTAAAAGAAATCTCAGTTTTCCTATTTATTTTGGTCACTTAAAAGGATGATTGGCTACCTTTTGTCAGTAGTTAACTGTGGCTTTTCACAAAAACAAGGTTGCTTAAAAGCAGGCATTAAACTTCGTTGAAGTATTGTTAGTCTTGTCCATTTGCTGCTATTGATCAAGTTTTGCTAAAAGCAGTTAACTAGAATCTTTTGTTTCCTTTTTGCTAATAAAAGTCATGAGGAGTACTTACTTAAAAATCCTGTAAGGCATTTTAGGGACAGTTTCTAAAACTTTTGTTTTTCAGATTTTTTTTTTTTTAATCTCAGTATATCTCTTTCAGATTCTCCCCCTCCATAAATGTTTAGGTTGGAGTTTTAGAAAGCCTGGCTTTTAAAAGACGAAAGAAATTTCTTACCCTAATAGTAATAATTCTTTACTGCCAGTACTCTCAATGACACAGTCATTCATCTGTTACACACACACACACACACACACACACACACACACACACACACACATACACACTGATTTTAGCCTGGTATGGTGAGTGCCTATGATTTCGGTAACCTGAGGCCGAGGCAACTGAATTACAAATTCTTGACCAGCCTGCTCCACACACGGGACAGATCTTCTTCGAACAGTTTCATCTTTCCTCCCCTCCAGAATTTACCTCGTGATCTCAGTTCTTATTCAAACCTCATTGAAAAATTCTCCAGGGGGCTGTTTTGAGCAACTGGGATAGTCATCTAGACATTCTACTTTTCCCTCTTGGTTAAAACTCACCTGCTCTCAGGTCTTTGTCTTGACCCTTGACTTGAGGCGGGGGAGGGAAGGGAGGGAGGGGCTGCCGATCATCCAGGACCTCTGCTGGTGCCCTGCTCGCCTCTTTCTCCAGCTTCCTCAGTGCCCCCGCCCCAGGGCATAGCACAGGGTTTTGCCTATGTGTCCCAGACAGAGAATGACTGGCCTTTTCTGTTTGTAAATATAACACAGTGTCCCAGAGAGGAAAAGATGGGGGAGTGTTAGAATTATAAGACTGATAGGACTTAAGCAAGAATTCCAAGACTCAATGGCATTGACTACACAGCACAAATGACTTGCAGGTGAGCTGGATGTTTGCAGCCAACAAAAGTAACTAAAGACGGACAGAGGTGACCATGAGCTTCTCCTTGATTCTTTTGTTTTTTTTCGAGACAGGGTTTCTCTGTATAGTTTTGGTGCCTGTCCTGGATCTCACTCTGTAGCCCAGGCTGGCCTTGAAACTCACAGAGATCCGCCTGGCTCTGCCTCCCAAGTGCTGGGATTAAAGGTGTGCGCCACCACTGCCTGGCTCTCCTTGATTCTTAAGCTCATCAGAGCTTCTTATCTTGTAGGAAAAGGTAGTCCTTAAAGAGCCAAGAAGTTCCTTTAGACACTCAGAACCTGCAAAAGGGGATAGCTATTTTCCTTCCTGAGAGAGTTCCTGGCAGAGGGAACATGGCCGGAAGACAAGTCGCTCTGTAACAGGCCAGCCTGCTGGACGTAGCAGATAGTGTGGGAGGACAGGGAAGGACTGCAGGGAAGAGCTATCTCCCAAGCGAGGCCTTAGGGGGTTCAGCCAGCTGGCCTGGGAAGGACAGGCTCTCTGAATTGGGAACCACAAGGTCAGAAGCCCATGTCGGCAGGGATCGTCTGAAGACTGCTCAGTTAAAGTGAGGTTCCCAAAGGCACATGACCTTGAGACAACCTAGACTTCCTTTCTGGGCCAGAGCAAGACGGGAGCTCAGGTGGTATTCTGAATATTGATTGGCAGGATGATAGGAAAAAGTGGCAGCCTCATAAAGATCCACGGCCATAGTCAGCACCACAGCCACGCCCCTCTAGGACCCCGATTATGGTGGTATTACCAGCACCCGTCAGCTGGCCCTTACAAAGCACTTCCACGTGTATTAGCTCCATTTCTGCAGAGCCCGGCAGCCAACTAGAGTGGAGAATTTATGGCTCGGAGGCCCTTGTGTTCATGATTTATACTCTGAAATGCTTGCTATGAGTGTGAAAGAATTAGTTAGGAAGGCCATGGGGCTAACTCAAGCAAGCCCTGTGGAGGGCCATGCCTAATTCTCCATTCCTGATTTACAGGTTGAAAGATAATAAGCAGGGGAAATAAGTTCTTTATTTGATTTTTTGCCCCCCTCAGTGCTAGGAACCAACCTGTTATTTCACATGTGCTTAGTAAGCACTCCGCCACTGAACTACACCCCCCAGCCTTAGGAAGTATACTCCTTAAATAAAGACCTTTAAGACATCTGTGAGGCAGTTACATTCAACAGGACACAGGAAAAACAGGTTGAAATTCGTTGGCATATGTTATGAAATTTTATTCAGCAGATGCCCAATGCTTCAGAGATGGCCAGACTGACTAGGCATCATGCTTGGCTTCTGCTTTCTGAGGATGTGTGCAGGAGGTGTAGGGAAAGGAAAGCCTGGCCCTTTTGTGTATGGTGGAGTCAGTTTCGGGTAAAACTGGCTCTTTACAAGATAGTGGCCATATGGTACTTGTACTAAGATGGGGTTCTCTAAGAGGGCCTGACGGGGAAAATGTTTTCAGACTTCTTTCCCTACACACTGTAAGAAATAACACTGCTCTGGGGATGGTGGCTCATATATGTAATCCCAGCACTTGGGGAGTGGGAAGTCTGAGGCAGGAAGGTTGCCGTGAGTTCGAGACCAGCCTGGGCTTACAGAGTGGGACCCTGTCCCAATAAAACCAGAGCCGTTAAATTTACATCGTGATCAAGAAGAGGGTTACAATGTACCCCGGTGGACATTCCATAAACTGACACACTTTAAAAATGCAACACATTCTGCTAACTCAAGTTTTGCTTCTTTGAAGTGTGGATCGTTTTTCTCTAATGCTCACCGGAAACACCTGGGTCTTGTCTGGGCCAGGAGCAAAGGTGTCAGCACTAAGTACTCTTTTGGATCTCTTTGTGTGTACGTGAGAAGTCTTATAGCCCACCTGGGGTAGCCAGCAGAGTTCCCAAGGGAAAAAAGCCAGTGCGAATGGACAGCAAAGGCTCCTGATAAGTCTGGCATTAAGGATGGCCCCTGCCCTAAACCTTCCCAGGTGGCTTTCTTGTCTCTTCTATGTGTAACCCTGGAGCTCTTCATGGTCTCCACAGGGCCGCTTGGCACATAGGATGTGTACCCCTTGTTCGGAGTATCCAGTTTTTAGGAATTCAGGTGTCGTCCAAAAGGCTTAACAGGCATGGCCACGGGAGGCAAGGACTTCATGGTTTCTTCCTCCTGGGAAGCGATAACTCACTTGGACTTGCCCTTCTGCACAGCCCTCACTCTGTCCGCAAACAGCCCACAGCTCCCCAAAGCCAGCAGCTCCTCTCCCAAGGTGCCTCTGCCAGGCAGGCAAAATCCGTGTGCCAGAAACTTCCTGCCGGGGGAGATTAATAATCACTTCTTACTGACTCGGAGCGGGGAGGCCCGGGCAGGTTAGAGGATGGCCGGTAGCAGGGTGCACAGCAGATGTAGGTACCTGTCTGCAGAACCTGTGTCCTTTCTGGATCTTCAGGCTGGCCGGACCCTGTACCCTTTTCATGATGGGGAGTGCCATCTGGAGGGTCCTGCTATTGAGCCTTGGGATCTGGGTTCCAGTGGGCAGACCCACCCTTTATTTTTAGTTGAGGCTGGACGAGCCTGTCTACTGGGTGGGAAGTTTTTTGCCAGGAACCGTTGGTAACTTCACTCTTTAAAAAATAATTTTTTTTAATTGCTTAAATGGATGTTAATAGACAAAGGGATCGTTAACTTGAAGTCTTAGAGAAGTACACAGAGGGATAAATGGCCTTTATTAATGGAGGTGTTTAGCCAATCTTCTCTCCCTAATGGGGCGGGGGGCATGGGCCTACGTTTCTTGGCAGAGACCAAGGGCCTTTGGTGACAGACCTCAGATTCTCATCTCTACTCCGTCTGGGTTACTTTAAGATGAAGGGTTTCTGATGGGAGGGGGAGGGTGCCCTGCCTCTTGGGTGCTATGGCCACTGAGGCCACCAGCACATTCTTAGCTGGCAGAAGCAGGTTTGCAGGCTTCCCCCTCTGGAGGCTGGTCACCGTGACTCAGCAGGAAGAACTCCGACCACAGAGATATCCTTTTATATCCGGAGGGAGTGAGCAGAGGGCAAGCCAGAGCCTCCGGTCAGAGAGGGAAAAAATGGGTGCCCTGCTTCTGAAACCCTTGTGATGTGGCTCAGAGAGTTCTCCTTTCTCTCAGAAGCAGCAGGAAGCAGTTTTCTAGGGTTGGAATTTAGGAGCCAAGCATTTGACTAACTGTGTCACATGCCAGCCCATGGGTAGTCACTGTCAACAGCTGGAGGACATAATGCCAGAGGTGCCTTCTTCCAGCAGGGCCAGGCACAGGGAAGGAGCTAACCACTGTGTGACCACCTACCATTGCAGCCGGTTGTATGGGTCTGTCCCGACATGCAGGCTGTATTGAAGTGGTATAGTTTCTGGTCCTGGAGGTCACTAGAACATGAGAGCTACACTTTGTTCTAACCTACGCCTGCCCCCAGGCTCTTGTGGGACAGCCCCCAGCTGTCCCAGATAACTGGTGCTATCTTTTTGTTACAAAACCTTTCCTTCTGCAGAAGATGCCTCGATAAACTTTGCATGGTTCGTCCACACTCGGGTCAGAAAAATCCTTTCTTGCCCCTCACCTGTGTAGCAGAGGGGGGGGGGGGGGTTGTGTGATGGAAACGTGTTTTCCTTTTGTTTGTGGCCCTTTTGGTAGAGACAGCGCAGTTGGTATCTGCTCCGACTCTGAGGAGACTCAGAAGGGCTTGTGTCAAGTTATTTTTAGTCGCTCCCCTCAACACCCCCCCTCCCCCGCCCCCATTCCTTCTCACATCAGAAAGGGCTGACGCTGGTGATACCAGATGGGAATCCTCACCCAGGCAGGGCACCACTCACTGGCTGTCTGCCTCCTAAGTGTTCATGGGTCCCTCGTTGTACGTGGTACTCTAGAAAGTCCCTCTGGCGTATCGTTGTACATCTTCCTTTGTGTATTTTTAATCTCAAATTGAAGGCTCTGTCCATAAAGCATTAACGAAATCCCCAGCATCCTTCCATCCTCCATATTTATGGTCCTCTGACCAAACAAACCTCTTTGAGAAATGCTCTGCAGCCGTTATCTCTAGACCCACAGCGCCACCTGGTGGCACACGCCGAGCCAACCGTTCTCCTTGTTCTTGCTACCTACTGGCTCTGGCTCCACTAACCTGAACCACTTTTCTCCTTTAAAGGTGGCTACGAGAGGTTTTCTTCCGAGTACCCAGAGTTCTGCTCCAAAACCAAGACCCTGGCAGCCATCCCACCACCTGTGCCCCCTAGTGCCACTGAGTCCTTGGACCTGGGCTGCAGCTCCTGTGGGACCCCACTACACGACCAGGTAGGTGTAGTGAGACCCTGGGCAGAGTTCAAGTCAGGCAGTGCAGGAGAACATGAAGGAACTTTCTTTTGAGAGTTCTGAGTTTCAAGCTTCAAACACAACTTCTTGATTTGAAGACAGCATGGTGAACCCTGAGTATCATGGTGGGGTTCTAGGTCAGGTGTATTTATTGCTAGGAATCATTTCTTCTCTCTCTCTTATTATCCCCAGTTAAGAAGAAAAAAAAAAAGATACTTCTGGTTTAGCCTCTATTTTGTTTTGTTTTTGTTTTGAGACAGGGTCTCCCTTTGTAGCTCAGGCTACCTTTGGAATTATTATTGTGCTCCAGCTCCCTGGTACTGGGATTATAGGCATGTACCCAGCATGTCTGGCTTCTAGACCCCAGAAGTATGAGCTGGACAAGAGGAAAGGCCTACTTGGGCCCATCTTAGAGGGATCTTGAGAATATCATTCTGGAAAGGATGAGGCCTTGGGATAATTGCTGGGCTCCCATGATAGCCAGGCTCTCCCTCATTTACCAGCAAGTTATAAAATACCAGTGGACTCAGAGTGCCAGTCTTGCTCCTAAAAAAAAGTCAGCTTGAGCCATTTCACTTCCTTCAAGCCCATGCCCATCCACCCTTCAGTCAGATGGAGTCCACCATTTCTGCCCATAAATCTTACCACGTGTTTAGGGCATCACACCTGCCATGATCTCTCCTTATCTGAGACATCTTGTCTCTGATGTGCTAACTGTGGACACAGCAGCCCAAACAGATCCCTAAACCCCATGACACAATGGCTTAATGATCTATTAGCAGGGATGCTGTGGATATCGCTCTGTATAAATAAAATGCTGATTGGTTAGTAGTCAGGCAGGAAGTATAGGCTGGACAAGCAGAGAAGAGAATTATGGGAACAGGAAGTCTGAGTCAGGAGCCACTGCCATGAGTACCAAGCCATGTAGCAAGGTATAGATTTATAGAAATGGGTTAATTTAAGATAGAAGAACTAGATAACAAGAAGCCTGCCACGGTCATACGGTTTGTAAGCAATGTAAGTCTCTGCGTGTTTAATTGGTTGGGTCTAAGCGGCTGTGGGACTGGCGGGGGAGGGAGATTTGTCCTGACTGTGGGCCAGGCAGGGATGGAGAAAACTTCAGCTACACAGGGTAAACTCCCAGTGTGGCTGAATGTGCTGCCTCAGTTGTCACGGGAAGGGGTGTTGCGGACTTGACCATACCTTGCCCACTAGAGTCCCACTGAACCCAGGCCAGGAAGGAAGAGCCAGAAAAGCTCTCTACCTATCATCAAGTTTCTTCCCCAGGCCCCAGGAAGCCCCGTGGGTTGTCTAGAGCTCCAGTACTTCAGCCATCATCCTGGTTGCTGGACGCTCGTGTTTTACTGAGGTCTTCTTTATGTTTCTCTTTGGTGCAGGGGGGTCCCGTGGAGATCCTCCCTTTCCTCTACCTCGGCAGTGCCTACCATGCTGCCCGCAGAGACATGCTTGACGCCCTGGGGATCACAGCCCTGCTCAATGTCTCCTCGGACTGTCCCAACCACTTTGAAGGACATTTCCAGTACAAGTGCATCCCCGTAGAAGACAACCACAAGGCTGATATCAGCTCCTGGTTCATGGAAGCCATCGAGTACATCGGTAGGCTGCCCAGCCCACCCTCAGGGTAGGGAGGGGGAACCCCAGGGAACGGCGGGTGGGGACTTCAGGTATTACGTGCAGGCTAGGACAGTCCCCTTGTATTGCCGCCATCGCCATCGCCAAATATGTGATACAAAGCAACTTAAGGAGGGTGTATAGTCCGTCACAGCGGGGACGACCTGGCGCCAGGAGAGTATGAAGTTGTCACATGACACCGGCAGTCAGGAAGCAGTGAGCATGGGAAGTAGGGCCGGGTTCTCAGACCTCAAGGCCCGCCCCTAGTTCGCCCATTTTTTTTTTCAGCATGGCCACCCCTCCCAGGAGGTTTCAGGGCGCACAACCAGCAGCGCTCAGTACATGAGCCTGTGGGGGTTCCAACCAACATACCAGCCTTCACCAGAAAGGCCCCCGGCCTGCCTGTGGGGACTTGTGTGTGGTGGGGATTGGGAGCCATTACCCATGCCCGGCTGAAGAGCCAGTCACCCCGTTGCATGGCTCCACATGTGTGCAAAGTAAAGACGTTTGTATGGAGAAGAAGACGAAAGGAGCTTTGTTTTTTTTTTTTTTTTTTTTTCGAGACAGGGTTTCTCTGTGTAGCTTTGCGCCTTTCCTGGGACTCACTTGGTAGCCCAGGCTGGCCTGGAACTCACAGAGATCCGCCTGGCTCTGCCTCCCGAGTGCTGGGATTAAAGGCGTGCGCCACCACCGCCCGACTGGGTGTGCGCTTTAAAAATACCTTTTATTGCCGGGCGGTGGTGGCGCACGCCTTTAATCCCAGCACTCGGGAGGCAGAGCCAGGCGGATCTCTGTGAGTTCGAGGCCAGCCTGGGCTACCAAGTGAGTTCCAGGACAGGCGCAAAGCTACACAGAGAAACCCTGTCTCGAAAAACCAAAAAAAAAAAAAAAAAATACCTTTTATTGGGGGCTGGAGAGATGGCTCAGTGGTTAAGAGCACTGACTGTTCTTCCAGAGCAGTCCTGAGTTCAACTCCCAGCACCCACATGGAGGCTCAAAACCATCTCTGGTGCTTATAATAAATAGCTAAATAAAAAAAATACCTTTTATTGTTGTTGAGCCTAGAAAATACTATAGACTGAGTGGGTCCTCAGTCTAGCTAGCACGGCCGCCCCTTTTCCCTAGGAGTGCCCCTCATCCTTCGGCCCGTCTTGTCTTCCCCACTCCCATGTCTTAGCTTCTGCCACACGCGCTGCCAGTGGTGGCGCCTGCAAGTCTGCCGAGGGCCCTAACCGTGTCATGCTCTCTGCCCCAGATGCCGTGAAGGACTGCCGAGGGCGAGTGCTGGTTCACTGCCAGGCGGGCATCTCCAGGTCAGCCACCATCTGCCTGGCCTACCTGATGATGAAGAAACGCGTGAGGCTGGAGGAAGCCTTCGAGTTCGTCAAGCAGCGCAGGAGCATCATCTCGCCCAACTTCAGCTTCATGGGGCAGCTGCTGCAGTTCGAATCCCAGGTGCTCACCACCACCACGTCGTCGTCGTGCGCGGCGGAGGCGGCCAGCCCTTCGGGGCCCCTGCGGGAGAGGGGCAAGGCCACGCCCACGCCCACGTCGCAGTTCGTCTTCAGCTTCCCGGTGTCTGTGGGTGTGCACTCGGCCCCCAGCAGCCTGCCCTACTTGCACAGCCCCATCACCACGTCCCCCAGCTGTTAGGGCTAGCCTCGGGAACACTAAGTCATCCAGGGTTGGCACCCCCCCCCCCCCGCCACGCCAGCCAGGGTTGGACAAGCCACACTGTGGGCAGCAAGTAGGGACTGACTGATCAGTGGGGTGGGGGGGCCACGTGACCACGCTCCGTCCTCATCCATTTCTCCTTGGCTAACCAACCACAGGGCCAGCTAGAATGGCAATAACGACTTCGAATACACCTTAAAAGCAAACAAACAAAACACTCCAACCTAGAGCAATAACGGCAGCGTCCGCGGCCAGGGAAGACTGGTTTATGTGTCGGTTTTACTTTGCAGGTAGATATTTACCTCATTTTTTTTTTTTTTTTTAAAGCAGTAAGGCTTGAAGTTATGAAGTCCACAGATCCTGGCAAATGTGCTCAACCAATTTTATTAAGTAGAGAGGGAGAGAGGAGGAAACAAGTTTTTGCCGGAAGTGCCTGGCTGGCTGTGCGCTTGTTCTAATACTGTCTTCATAGGAATTTTGTGCTAGGTACTTCTAGGCCACAGTATTCCCTTCTGATTAGTCGTCAACTGAATATTTATGCTGAATGAGAACTTCTTTAAGGTGTGTGAGCAGGAGCCTGGTGATGTGGATTTGGAATGTATTTCTGTTGAGGGTCACACAGTAGAGCACAGAAACGCACAGGCGTGCTAGCAAGGAGGAAGTGAGTGGTTGGTGTCTGGGTTTCAACCTGGTCGCCATCCTGCATTATTGCCACCAAGAAACAAGCAGGGTGATAGGCAAGGAAAAGGGTCTGTGGTTGGTCACTATGACAGCTGGTTCCTGGACACACTGACCCAGGCACGCACGCTCTTCCCTCCAGTGACCCATTTGGTGGTGGCCAGAGCGTTTTCTTCCAGCTTGCCTAGCTAGGATTTGGATATTGTCTGTGACAAATGCCATATTTCAAGAGGTGCTCCTGGAAAACTGGGTGCCATTCAGATTTTCCTACAGTGAGTCATTTGGCGAGGCCCCCATCAAAGCCAGCTCACTAAAGATGAACTAAAAACAAAAAAAACAAAAAAAACAACGAATCCTTTTGTAAAGTTGAAGTGTACCATCCTCTCTCTCTTGGATAAATTGGAGTTTTCAGTTTTAGGCATTTACTTGAAGTATACCAAGAAATTCTTGTTATTAAATCCCTGTTTGACAAGTGAATACTTACTTTCAAAAGCCCTCTTGAATAAAAAGATAAGTGTTGGCCGTGACTCGGGGCTGCTTAAAGTATGGAAGGGTGAGAGTACCAGTGGTGGGGACCGGCTGCCGGCTCCTGTGAAATGCATCCTGGGTGACTTAGCCGTTTTGGATTCTGACCGGGTTAAGGCCATATTTAAGGAGCCTTTCCAAATGGAGGAATGGCTTTGGAGGAGTGAGTGTGTTTTCTGTGGGGAAGGCTTGGGGTGGGGGAGGGGACACGTTCCATCTGTAGTGCTGGGGAAACAGTAGTGTGGGGTGCCAGATTAGAGGTCACTGAAGACGTGTCAGGAACGAGAGCATGGTTTCTCCCCCTTTTGAGAGTCTAGATCTCAGTGAACATTCTTGATCACACATAAATAACTTCAAGCCTCAATGTCACAATCACGGTGGAATGCTCTTTTCTCATCCAACATCCCAGCTAGCCCGGGTTCATTACATTTCCTTCTGTGAACTGTGAACCTGTGTTGGCATGACCTGTATTGGTGGCCTGTGTCAAACTCTGCCTTCGGGTGAGTCTGGAGTCCTCACTTCCTGTTTGTAGAAAAAGGAGGGTGCCCTGCTTCCCTGACGCTGCTGCCTGGCTGAAGGCATGAAGGGGCTGAGCTCCCCGATGGCTGACCCATCAGAGATGGTGGACCCTAGTTGGATGGTCCTACCTTTCCCCCTGCTTCCTGGCAGCTGCTTCAGGTTTGCTGAAGGATTAGATTAGATGAGTTGTATAGCGAGACAAGTCCTGGGTTCCAAGAATGTAAGGCCTTCTGGGGGGCAGATAGATAGCTTTTAGACGACATTCACTTTTTATATGAGTGTGTTTGCCAAATGTGGCCTAGTTCCCAGACTGGATCCCAACCACACAGGCAGTGGGAGCTCCAGATGTCCGTCCCCTGCTTCCTAATTCAAGCCTTCTATGACAATGTCAAGGGGCTATTTATAAAGTCATTTTCTTTGTACTTGATAACAGCATGAGACCCAGAACTCTTAGAAAGAAAATAGGACATTGGTTTGATTGAAAAAAAAAAAAAGGGAGGGGACCTTAAAAAACTGTTATTCTCTCCCCAGTGGCCTCTTTGATGGCTTGGAATAGCTCTAATGAAGACCCTGTCCCAGGGTCATTCCAAATGGTTAGTTTCAAAAGACAGCATCCCGTCCATGAACTGATTTCTGGTGATGGGGCATTTTTGGAATGGCAGAAAGCCATTGAGTATTGGTCAGAATGAGGAACACACCCAGTTCTCCCCAGGGGTCTTGTCTCATCCATGGGTGTTTGTGGGGGAGTCTGAAGGTTGAAGTCCATGTGAGCAGGTGGCTAGCGGCTCTCAGCTTCCTTCTCCCCGAGACCTCTGCTTGGCTTTCAGTCAGGCTGGGGAAGCCATGAGGAGTGACTTGGGAGAGTGACTTGAGAGAGTCCTTGGGAAGGTGGGAAGAGGGAGGGAAGATTGGGGGTTAATCCCAAGGGGAAGGGACAGGAAACCTGTGGTAACGATACAATAGTTATTAGTTGTCCATCATAGTCACCTGGGCAACCTTTAAAATCCTCATATCCACGTGACCTTGACCAAATAAACCAGGACTCACGTGGGTGGGACCCAGGCACCAATACGTTAACAGTGTTCCTAAGTGCTTTCCGTGTGCAGCCAAGTTTTGGAGATGCATTGCTTCTGGATGGTGAAATTCCCACAGAGGTGAAACAGGAGCTACAGCTGTCCCACTCTCCACAGCTGGCTGAGGGCTGAGGTGGTTTCTTTGGGGGAGCCCGAGTGGGAACCAATTTGCGGAGCATTGTGAGTGGGCTTAATATAGTGTCTGGGTGTTGATGTATTCCCGTAAACTTTGTCTCCATCGAGAAAGATGGAGCCAGTCTGTGTCTGTTTTGGAGTCCTTCCAGTGCCCTGCCCTTTAGAGCTCATGAATCATCCAAAAGACTTCAGAAAGGTAACAATGCAATACTTGTTAACTTGTGTAAATAGCCCATCTTTCTGAGTGGTGTCATTTCTACATTTGATATGCCTGTATTTCTGTAGGATGTACATAGTTTAGGGGATTTTTGTTTTTTAGAAGAGTCCAACATGTCTGTTTTTATTTATTGCTTGAAAAAGATCATTTGAAGAAAAAATAAATACATTTTCAACCATTTCTGCTTTTGTGGACTCTCATTGGAATGCATCCTGCTGTTAGAACTTGGAAAGGGAGGAAGGACCCGGGACCTCAAGTAATCATTTGTGCTTAGCACCTGCAGTGGAGACCAGCTGATCACAGCAGTCACAGAGAGAGGGCTGGTCACTAGCAGTCAGAAAGGTCCAATGCTAAGTGACAGCGCGTCTCTCCCACAAGGACCTACTGTAGGGAGTGTAGGAGCCGATGGTTAGGATGGCTCAATGGAAAAGGCCAGTGTTAGCATGAAGACACCAGCATAGAGAGTTATAATACAAGGATGGGTAAGGAATTAGTACACGAGGAGGCACAAAGGATCTGAGTGGCTTCGTAGTCTGTCAGGACTATAGAAATAAGCGGTTGCATGTTAAGGCTAGAGTGAAAAAATAAGCTAATGACTGTGTAAAGCATGGTGGTGGAAAATGATCCACACATCATTTTTATCAGATTCCATTGGGGTGGCTTTCCCAAATGGCAAACTAAATAGTCAAAATACTTTCCCACTGTCTCACAATTATTTAACATCCTGGAAATGGTCAAGTAAAGTTCAGTTATAAGATTGTGAAAAAAATTAAGTCCCTTTCCTATACAGAAATATCGAGTGACACAAAATCAAAAACAAGATCCACTTTACAGTGACAATTTAAAGATAAAACACCTACAATAAACTTAGGAACAGGCAAGAGGTATATAATGGACAAGAGATAACATGCTTGTGGAAAACAGCATCTACAATGTTCATGGATAAGAGCTAGCAACAAGTTATAAAGTAACAACTGACTCAATCCATCAGCAGGATTTGGGGAAGAACCTGTCTCCTTCAGAAGGATAAATCTGGAAACAACGCCAGGGAGGGGATCAGGTAGGCTGTCTTGAGTCTCTTTTTTCTGCTGTACTAGCCGTACACAGAACGACACATCTACATCCCCACGATACTGTGGTATACTGTGGAACAGGTCACATCACAGCGTCAGGAAGGAGCCATCAGAATTTGAGGGCTGATTCCTTTTTAAATCTGTCATCTCGGTAGCACCCTGGGCTTCAGTCTGGCTGAGAACATTGGGGTGGGGTCTTAGGCAGTTAAATAGACTCGCTTTCTTCTAACCCCTTCTCTAGCCAACGGCTTTTTCCTGGGGGCTAAGGGGGGGGGGCAGAGCCAGCCTTTTCGATTAAATAAAAAAGACCACGGAGGTAACTCCTAAGGGCTATGAAATAGAAAGAATGCTCATATGGTGTGCCAGGGGCCTGGGACCAGACTCACTGCAGTGAGCATCTTGTGGGTGTGGCTGACAAGAGGGGACACTGAATGACACACTGCAGGTCCTGATGTCACTAGGATGAAGAAGTGTCGGGAAGATGGGAGGAGCAAGGTGGCCTTCTTGTTTGTTTTGTTTTGAATTAATTTGGGGGGCATGCTGCAGGGGTGTGGGACAGATACGGAGGGGCTGGGAAGTGAGCGGGATTGGGATGCACGATATGAAATCTCCAAAGAGTTGGTAAAGAATTAGGAAGAAAAAAAAGATAAGAAATTGAGGTAACTCGGCACATCCTCTGGACAGTGAGTGGCAGGACCAGACTGCAGCTCCAGACGGCAGAGCTGGGGCCTCATCTTAATCCTGTAGTGCTTTGGCAAATCGGCCGCCCTGACAGACACCCTCAGCCATCCACATTTCTCACTGCTCTAATGAGGCAGGGTAGAAAGTCAGGGCAGCGGAAGACCAGAAGGAAGCGCCTTCACTCCTTTGGATCTGCATTTAAATAAAGCAGAGCGAGCCCTAGCACCCGAAAGCCTCCAGTTTCAACACAACTGACCAAACTGCTCCAAGACCACGTGCAGCAAGAACTACATACTCGGGAGAAATGTTGCAACCAAGACGACCAGGACAGCTAATGCACCGTGCCTAGGTCAAAAGGTGTTCGACTTTCCTCTGACCTTACGGTTTACCAGCACTCGGCTCATCCATAAAACTGAAAAGCATCTCATAAAACACCTCCCTTTTTCATTTACGGAAGGAAATTCTTTTGAGTAAGCCAAGTAACTGCTGTTTCCAGCTTCTTTAGTCTCTAAACTCTGCTATTGACATAGATAACATCACATGAACAGTGTGTTACAAAAGCCACAAGTCACCTAAGAGCTTGTGGAGTCTTTAGGGTGCCTCTTTAAACCTGCATCCACCCACCCGCTCTGCCCTCTCCTGCCTTCCAATTCTTTCTGGTGACGTAGGTCAGGATCCCTGCAGCACCCAAGTCTCTGGGAACTCCTCAGACTGCACAGCCATAACGTGGAGTTGCTTGAAGACGTTGGCACTCCAAAAGCATGCCATTTGTACCACTGTATCATATCATACACCATTCAAGTACAACTAGTAAACCACCTTTGCAGACACTTAACAGAGAAGCAGGGGCAAGCAGTGTTCACAGAACTTGCCTCGGGATTCTGAGAGTTCAGTGGTGTATGGTACACCCTGGTTTTCTCCATGTTCAGCCTCTCCACAGCCCACAGTCCCGACGCACACCACTTTCCTTATACTTGATGCTCTGTTTATATGCAGAATTATAAAGTAAAGCTGATCAGCCCTTCTGTATAAATCAGTCCTATGCGAGGTAAATAATGTCAAGAACCCTAGTAAATCAGACTGAAACAAAACCAACCTGCTCCGTACCCACTGACTCTGCCGAAGCAGTTATATTAGCATTATAACCTTTGTTACTGCAAATAGGTCTGTGTGCTCCTTTGGTGTGTGTTATAAAATGAGAGGCGTGAACAAGGCCAAGGATAAAGGTTTATAAACATTCTAAGTCACACATGCCGGCTTCGACCTCACACACTGGGTCATAACCGCAAAGCACTCTAAGCAACAGAAGTTAAAAACAAGTTCACACTGGGGCTGTCGCCAAGCTGTAATAAAGAAGTGCACAGCTGTAAGGTCAATCCACAGCCCATCACACCCCCTTTCAAAATTGGTGGCAAAGAAAATGCTTCTCTCGACAGTCATGGGATTTGTTTTGGTTATAATTTCCTCTTAAAAAAATAAATCCAGTCTAGCAAGTGTTTTAAAAACTCCTGTGTGCATATATGTATGTATGCATTCATGTGTGTGCGTGCCACGATGTTACATGTGAAGATTGGAAGCAGTGGTGGTTTGAATAAAATGGCCCCCATAAGCCCACTGGGAGTGGCACTATTAGGTGTGGCCTTGTTGGAGTAGGCGTGGCCTTGTTGGACTAGGTGTGGTGTTGTTGAAGTGTTATGGGGGCGGGCTTTGAGGGCTCAGATGCTGAAGCCACCCCAGCGTGGCAGTCTCTTCCTGCTGCCTGGAGTCCAGATGTAGAACTCTCAGCTCCTCCTCCAGCACCGTGTCTGAGTGCACGCTGCCATGCTTCCTGCCATGATAATAGACTAAACTTCTGAACTGTAAACCAGCCCCAATTAAGTGTTTTTTTTTTTTTTTTTATAAGTGTGGCCATGGTCGTGGTGTCTCTTCACAGCAACAGAAACCTTGACAGAAACAGAAGCCAACCTCAAGTGTTGGTCTCTACCCTTGAGGCTGGTCTGTTTTTTCCCACTGAGCTGTCCTGTGAGCTTCTGGGGATTGACCTCAGTCTCCTCTTGGGAGCTCTAGTATTCCAGACACTACTATGGCTTTTACTGGAGACCTGGGGGTTAGAAACCAGGGCCTCGATAGCCCAGCAAGGGCGTTACTCATGAGTCTCCTCATCCTCAGTCCTAGAGTGACTTATTACACTCCCCTCCCCCATTTCTGTCAAGCTACCACACACAGTGGATCAAGCTGTAAGCCTATATCCTGAGCTTGGGGCTCTGTGGACTTTTGAATCCGATCTCCATGTGAGCCACCGATGACACATGGTAACATCGGCACCAGCTCTTTCATTCATTCCTACGAGTGCATTGGAACAGCAGTATCGTCAGGGACCAGCGTCCAGCAGCTGACAGCAGGCTCTGTGGTGGGACTTTACCTTCAAGTTTAACTGTGAAATGGGGATTCAAACGACTTTCCCAAAACAAACAAACAAACAAACAAACAAACAAGCAAACCCAAAAGCAAAATTTCTAGACTTGAACTACAGGCCATGACCACTCAGAGCCTGACCCCCAGTGGTCCATGCCACCGTGCACAAATGGCCAGCCTCAAGAGAAACAACTCCTGCTGTAAAATTGACCACCCAGTAAGACAGTAGCCTGTCTACTTGGATATGGACCCCACCCAAATGGCCCTAAGACCTAGTAACTTTCCCATTACACAAGCTCTTCCACACACTCCCTCGGCTCACAGTTCTCTAGTGCTTCTTCGCAGTGTTTCAATAAAGTCCTCTTCTGTTTGTGCCCTGGGTAAATTCTTTAACTGCCAGTTGTTTTTTTTTCCCCCCCATAAATCATTCTGTGCATCTTATAGGTTCAGGGTAACTAGGGTGCTCCTACGCACTTAATTTATGTCTTTAACTGACAATCCTTTTGGTAGAGAAGTTATGGAGACACACCTAGCTTCACATTAGCCGTGGACAAAGAGAACTGGTGAGAGATGGAAAAATTCTTTGCTTCTTAGGGCCAAGGTGGGTAGGTCATACCATGATACCATGCAAATCAGATTGGCCTGACACTCATGATCCTCCTGCCTTAGCATCCTAAGTGCTGGGACTGCACGTTAGTACACCAAGCTCAGCTGTGTGAGATCTTGACTGCTCCCCATGGCAGGTACAGAAGCTGTCTCCTCCAACCCTCCTGGCTGGGAGGGCCAATAAGCTGCTCTCAGGGTTTCTCCAGCTACTGCTGTATTTCCAGAGTTCCTATGTGGGCTTTCTGCTCTTGCCATATTTCTATAGCTCCCATGTGGGCGTGCAGGTTCTAAGGAACTTCCAGCTGGGATCTCACTAGGAAGAGGGGAAAGCAGAATTGTTACATGAATTTGACAGTTTGAGGTCAGCTGTGCTGCGGATAGGCAAGCTGACGCGAACAGAACAGGACAAAAGGAAACACAAGCTGAATGCTATAGACACACAGCGTACTTTAAAATGTGTTTTATTGAATATTAATCAGTTACAAGTACTGGAAGTTAGACATTAAGCCAAAGCACAATTACAGGTTAAATATAATCACAGAGATGTTTTAAATAGAAACCCACCATGTAGGCTGGTTAAGTTCCTTGATGCCTCTTTTAGAAATAAGTAGAAGTTGAGAGAGAGAGGAAAAAAAAAGGTCTTCCATTTCAGGTGACAGCTATAAAGACCAGAGAATTTACATGCTGTGAGCATCCTTCTGTGATGAAACTGCTAGGGCTATTAGATTTAGAAAAACTACACATGAAACAAAAATCTAGGATATTCGGTCAAAATCTGAATTTCAGATAAGTTAATGAACATTTTTAAAAAATGCACAGATATGTCAAATATTGCATGAGATATACTTGAGCTAAAAAACTGCTGAAATTCAAATCTACCTGGGCATCTTGTATTTTGTCTGACAAGCCTACAGATGGACAAATATAAAGCAGGACAAAGTGGGATGGAACCAGTCACTGGCGGTTAGGTTACAGAGACTGAAAACAAGGAACACTAACAAGGAACTGAAGGAACACTACACTGGTTATTTACACAGACCAACATCACAGTAAGAAAACACAATCACAATTCCAAATGCTGTTGTCAGAAACACTCTAGATGTCCTCAAAGCTGGCTTTGTAAGTTTTCGAGATATCCTGTCATCAAAGTACCTTTTTAGTTTTGTAGGTATCAAAGACAAGTATTACTACCACAAAGATCAGATCAAACACGAGGAGCAGAAGCAGGTACTACACACACACACACACACACACACACACACACACACACACACACACACACACACATGAAGAGTTAAGTGTTCTCTGTAGTGAATACATGGATTATACAGCAAGGTTACCTTCTAGTTCTACACTACGAGCTTCAAAAATCTCAGTCCCTTCCTTTCCTTTACTGTGGCATTTTCTAGTTTTCCTTCCCGCACACTGGGAGGGGTTCAGAGATACCCCGTTACCAAATTGGAGCTAACAGAAGGCATTCAGGGTCACTTGAGAACAGCAGAAGAGAGAGGGTGAAAGAATGAAGGGTCAGAATTGGTCCATGTCTACGCTGTGAGTGTTATCTCAGTCCTGCAGAACTGACTCTGGTAGAAGTGGGAAACTGGCCACTCATGACCATACTGGATCTCACAGAGTATACAGAATCTTCGCTTCCTACAGTTTAATGTATCATAGTATACACCTTAAAATGACTAAAACAACCTCCACACTACTCAAACTCTACATGGTATCACATACTATGAATCCCCCACACAAGTCTACAGGTTTGGAAATTCTTCTAGTGTTCTTTCAAACCAGAAGACTTGGAGGCTGAGGAATCTCACATGGGAGAAACTGGGACTTATTGGTTCCTTCAGTCCCAGTGTGTATGACAGTATTGCTTATAAAATATACCTCCATAAAACACACTTACCAGGTATGAAATACAGAGACATGCCCACTCACTGACACATTTCAAGTACTAAGAAATGGAGTCATGTTTCATTGGTTGTATAGAAAAGGTTAAAAAGTTTCTTCCATGGATAAGGCTTTTTTTTAGCAGGAAAAACGTAATTGTCTGTTAACCACAGAATGCATAAGTTGGCTGAAGAAGCCTCACTTTTTAGGGTGGTATTTAAAAAATGGTTTTTACATGCTAGATGTAGCTAGAACAGTTCAAATATTCCCTTCACAATGACTCTTATTTCTTTGTCACTGCTTTGACACCAAACACCAGTCTTTGATTTCTGACACATGAAAACCTACTTCAGTGTCATTTTTGAATGCTTGCTGAATGACTCTAAAGTCTGTGGCTCTATGCAACAGGAAACAGAGTAAGAAGGCTGTCTCACAAACAAGATCTGGGAACATGGGCTGGGGGGAAGGACAGGGGGGACATGTGCTTTAAAACACACACCATTTTTGTTCACAAGGCCATTTATAGGAATCCAAACAACGAATGTTTAAAAGGGGAGAGGGAGCAATGTCTAATTACCTTTCATGCAACTGGGAATATACTGAAATAGAGGAAAACCTAGACAATTTACTGCATTCTAATGCTGTTTTCTAGCATTAACCAAAATATTATTGTTTGTAATAATATCTAGGCTAAGAGGATGTTAATGTATGTTTACTAGCTTGCCGTAGTCAAGCACTTCTCTCTATATCCAAAATGCACTTGGCTATTCTGACAGCCAAGAGAAATATGTGTAGCAGTAACTGGACGCTCAGAGGAGCCCCTGCTGCTTCCATGAGACGTTAGTGCTGTTTCCCCACTGACACTGTCTGCAGTCCTAAGCACTAGGAAGGGAAGGAGGGAAGATCCCTGGTTGGACTGCTAGTCTTTTGCATAGAATTAAATCCCTGGATTCCGTGCTGCCATTTGTTAGCAAACTGGCAGAATCTTTTGAGCAGAAAGTGGATAAGGACTAAACCCAGTTCTGGTTTTGATATGAAAATTACAGATACCTGGATTCCTTCTGTAAGACCAAGATGAAGAAAGGAAGGAAGTGAACGGGGCCAAGCACAGGAGCTACTTCTGACACTAGACTAGCAATCCAGTCAAGTACGAGGACAGGTGTCCAGAGCACTTAATTTATGCCTGAGGTGAGTGTCCAGCTGGCCAGACCCGGTAAACTGGGACCATGAGGTCTCTACGAAAGCCCCTGGATGTGAGGCTCGTAGAGACACTTGACTTCTCTCTGTAGTTCTGTTGGGAAGCTGAGGAGTCCCAAACCTGCCAGTGGTTCTAAGTAATGCACATACAGAAACTTAACAGATTTCAGTGGAATACCATGCTTTTATATTCCAGAGCACTCTTCATATTGCTAAACAAGGAAATTCCACACAGTCACTTTGCCAACTTGAATACACTCATGATGCCTTTGGTTTTCAAGCTCTGAAAATACCTACTAGCTCTGCTGACCCATTCTTTTTAAACAGATCATGAATGTGCATTCTGCCATATGTGAGTCACCAGGAGACCTCAAGCACTGCAAAAGTCTTCCTTATACAGTGTCTGTTCTTGGCACAGAGACCATCAGACACAGCATTGGTGCGTCAGTGAACCACAGTTAACTTCTCAAGGTAAGGCCCAGGTTAATCTAGTTAGTGTGATGGAGATAACACAACATACAACCACAGTCAGAGAGTGGTTCAACTTTTAATGAAGCTAGAAAGCTTTCCATAGCTATACCATAGGATTCCCTCATGGAACTCAAATCCAGCTGTGGTTAGCATTTTGAACTAGTGGGGGGGGGGGGGGCAAACAGCATACACACTGTAGCTACTACAACTATACAGATGGCAGTTTCTTCAACCTTTGCTAACAGTGGGGTAGGGGGAAAGGAAGGAGAAAGCTCTCTGAGCCAACATCAAATTTTGAAGCTTTATATGGAACCCTAGTTGCTATTAAACACACAGCCAAAAACACAATCAACCAGCTCAGGCCACCGAACTTCAATAGAAGTGAAAACTGAGGCAAAGTCTTGATTTGATTTTGAGGAATGCATGCAAGATATAACTATAAAATTCACCCTAGACTGGATGCCTAGTTCTAGCATTGGTCTTAAGCTAACAAAAATTAAATAAATAAAAAGAAAGAGAGAAATGTGTATTTCGGGAGCCAGGGAAATGAAGGTGGTCACAGCTTAATATGCTTACATTAAAACAAAAGTAAAAAACAAACAAACAAACAAACAAAAAAAACCAACCTCGTTTTCAGGACTTCCGATTGAAATGGTTAAGTATGTCAAACGGTTCTCCCTCGGTTTCTATGATGTCTGCTGCAAAGCTGAGCAGACAGATGCCAACACGAACCTAAATAGTAATGTGCTCAATTCAGTGTTCAGTTAGGTCCACAAGGGCATCCAAGGAAGCGTGGTTCTGCTCAACGTCACGTACACTTGGCGAATGCCATTACAAGAAGCAGTACTTTCACAAAGAGACATTTCTCTACTAGTGGCATTTAAAAAAATAAGTCAAAGAGCCTTTGGTTTCAATTTTGTTTCCTTGTCTAAATATATTAAGAACTTTGAAGAAATGGTTCAAAAACTGAGAAAGATCTTTATAAACCATTTGAAACATACTACTCAAAATAAAGGCCAAATCTGGAGTAAACAAAAAGTCCTTGCATTTGTGCATATTCACTACTTCGGGTTTGAATCCTGGCTTTCTAAACTGAGGAGGAGAGTAACATGCTAACGGGGTACAGCAGCTCCCTGACTTTGGAAGCAAAGGGTAATGTTAGGGTGACAGTTCTGATGGTTCAGATTAAGTGAAGGTTTTATTGAGACATCCCTGGGTTTGCCTGGCTGCGGCCACAAGGCCCTGTGTTCTACTCCGCCCCCTCTTACTGGGTTCCTCCCTCACAAGCTGCTAGTCATTCCCCAGGAGAAGTCACAACCGCCTCTCCTCAGTTTAACCTCTCCTCAGCAATGCTCGTTTGGCATCTGGAGCGTGGTCCTGTGAACCCTGCGGACTGCAAAGAGCAGAGAGATGTTTATGCCCTTCCTTGTAAGATGGGCCGGCTTCTAAAAGGGAACAAATCTTGATGCTTTCCCTTACGTTCAGAAGAAGGAGAGACAAAATCTAACAAGAGAAGTGGGAACAGTGTCTTGCTCGGCCAGAAGCTCTGGTTGCATTGCTAATGATTTTAGTCAGTGTGACTGTGCAAAATATCCCAGGAAGGCTCTGGCTCATTTTCAAAGTAACAACAATAACAATAACAACAACAACAACAACAAGAACAAGCATCAACAATGTATGTTTGGCAAAATTAAAAAATGAGCCACATGTGTCTATCTGCTATACATGTGCCAAACACAACAAAGAAACTGTAGTGTGTGAATATTCTCTTTTCCCATTTCTATGTCTTAAGCAAAGCATCTTGCTCTAGAAATGGGTAACCGTAGGAAAATGAGCCCAAGACATGTCCAAGGCTGCCCAGTAAACATTTCCTCAAAGGGATTGGTGGCAGGTGAGTGTGTTCGGTCACTCACCCTGTGTCATCACTCTAGCAATGCTTTATAAAAGACAAACAGCGTATTTTTCAGCTGTTGGGTTTAGAGAATATTGGTGTTTTTGTGTGTGTGTGTGTTGGAAGCAATCCACTGTAATCCAGTCGCAGGTTTGACTCACTCTGGCCATCACCAGGGCAGTCACTAGGTCTTCTGCTCTGCGGCTGTGGCGGTCTGTGAAGGGGCTTCTGGCTTCATTATCTGGTAGGTGATGAGATATTCTGGATACGCCTGGAAAGGTCAAGAAGGCAAACAACTCATCCCCTTGAAGGTGCAGCAGTTGAGCCTTACTTACTCAGAGGTTAGGCTACATAATCAGACATAAATCCCACCATCTATAAAATGATTTCTATAGTATTTCTACTTATTATAGTCTTTCCTTCCCCACCTCACATAAGCCAGCACTGTATATATCATTTCAGTAACACACAGAAAACCTTGGTAGCAACCAATAACCAGAGACTGTCTCTCTTCATAGCTGATGTAGGGGATAAAAGTGAAACATACTTAGATACTCCTCTTCTCCCACCCCAAGTGCTGGAAAGTGAATCCAGGGCCTGCACATGGAGGCTAGTGCTCTTCCCCAGAGCCACACACCAGCCTCTCCTGATATCAAGTTTAATCATGTCATGATCAAAAGCCAAGTTTCCTTTCAGGTACACATTCATTTCAGTATACCTTTCAACCCTTAAAAAACAACAGCCCATCTATAATATCCTCCAATTAAAACAGCCATGTGCTCTTCAAAGTGTTAGGCATTAAGAATCGAGTATGATTTAAAATTAGAACAGACAGACTAGGAGAGGAAAACTTCCTAAACTCAGGGGAAACTGCTCATGGGAAAGGATGTAATTAGTAGATACTGCAGTTGCAGTGGCCCCCGAGGAGAGGCCCACCTGTTAGGGAAGACAAGCATTCTCCCAGAGAAACACTAAGTCCATTTCATTTCATCAAGGCACTTCAACTTTCTCCTCAACAGATCTGTTCCCTCACTCTTTAAAATCCCTTTAGGAGGAGGCTCTATGCAGTTACCAAGTTGAGTTTTTCATTTTTTAAAGATAGGGTCTCTTGTATGTCTCCCAGACTGCTCTCCAGGCTAGGATGTCCTGTCTCAACCACCTGTCCCTAATGAGTGATGTAAATTTTGACTAGCTCGTCAAGGCACTGCCTTCTTTCCTCAGTGGCTGATTACGGCCGCCAGTCCTTGAAGCTTTGCAACAAGCATGCATATATTCTGGAAATTTCCCTCTAATTCAGCATCCATTCTTGCTTGAGCTAATTTTTACCATGAGGTTTGCAAGTTGGAACTTTTCCCACTCTAGTGTTCCTCCCACTTCTATTTATGGTATTCTACCATGACCCAAGAAATTCCCTTTCTCACTCATTCATCAGTACAGAGTAATGAATACTTTACGTTTTCCCAAATTCAGTCCTATATTTATTTTGGTATGCAGATTTCTCAGATTTGGCCAGAGGAAGCTCCCCGAATGGCATTAGGTCCCTGTGTTCTGCCTCCACATTTTCCTTCCTGAGTATCTCATTACTTTCTAGTATAACAAGGTATCTGAAGTTTATCTTGTCCTTATTCTGTTTCAACACCGCTTCCTTCTAGCCAGGAGGGATTAGGCTCTAGGTTTTCATTGCTGTTGGAGTGTCTTTGCTTTCAGTAGAGTTAAAAAATGTGTATGTATGTACTTAAATTTACACATAGACAGAAACATACATATATGTACAGACATCTATATATCTATTGATATATTTGTTAGAAACCACAAATTCCTATTAAGGCAACTTCAGTACATTCATATGTTTTTGAACCTTTCTCTCATTCCATATGATCTCTTCTATAGCAAGAACCATAGTTCCCAAAAGTTAATATACCTATGCAATTACTCTCTTGCTCAATCCTATAATATACCTAACAGAGTTTTGTTATTTTACCCATACTACCACAATAAACAAACTTAGTAAAAAGGAGTTCAAGAATTCTTTGCAATTCTTCCACAACTATACACCCTACTCTGTTCAAGACAGAACACAGAAAAAATATTACTTTTATAAATTATCTGTATATAGTTACTTTCTTATTTTTTCTTCTACTTTAGGCTATTTATGGTTTTTAATTAAGGTTAGAAAAACTGACTTTTGCATTCAGATAAATTGGATGACATTTAGTGCTGGAGTTGAGGACTGGTTTGAAACCCTACAAAGTTTATTTATGTACGTATGCATTTCTCTGTATACACATTTCCATTAATTTTTTTTCCAATTTCATTTGGGAGCCTCAAGAGGTTGGCAGAATTAAATACCTCGTAGCCTTCTAAGTCAAGGCTGTAGGCTATGATCAGAATAAAAAGGGAAGTTCAAAAAAAAAAAGGGAAGTTCATGTAACCAGCCCATGGCAAGCAGATCCATTCAAAGGTATGCTGTGCCTGCAATGATTACAGATGTCGTCTTAAATATGGCTTCTGCTTCTGCAAGGATGGCATAGGGACTCTCTCATGCTGACTGGATGAGGGACATACCTGCTCTCCTCTGTAGATGACATACTCAGCATAGGCCAGCCCATTGACACTTGGTCTACCAATAACTGAATGGTGTCCTGGAGGAGCATGGGCCATTTTCATGGTGCTGAACTGCAGAAAGGATTTCCCAAGGGTCACTCTACAGAAAAGCATTTGTCTAAAGAAAAAAAGAAAGCAATACTTCAAATGTAACTGTTAGGTTTATTAGCTTTTTTAAAAAAGAAAAATTCATACAATGAAACCTAATTTAAACACTATTCTCAAGTTTTGCATAGTAATGGGATAAAATTTGATATACTGGTTTACTATTTAACAATTATCAGGCTCAATATCAATAGTTAGACTAACAGTTTAAGGCAGATTTGGAGTAGTGTATGGATCTAGCATAGAAAATAAAAAGATACACTAGAGAACGCAGAATTTTCACATGAATGCACAGAAGAAAGGAAATCAGATGGGAACAGTACCTGAGATTAAAATCTCTGGTGTGTGTGTGTGTGTGTGTGTGTGAGAGAGGAGAGAGAGAGAGAGAAAGAGAGAGAGAGAGAGAGAGAGAGAGAGAGAGAGGGAGAGAGCACATGTGGCATGCAGAGGAAGGAGGCAACCTCACATGCTGGTCTTTGTCTTCTACTGTTGGACCAGAGTTTCTTTAGTGTTTCTGCCTCTGTGTAACAAGGCTGGCTGGCCTCAGAGCTCCCAGGAATTCTGTAGAAGTGCTGGGCTTACAAACACTCATGCTCTGTGCTTGGGTTTTATACAGATTATGGGGATTCAGACTTAGGTCATCATGCTTGTCTGGCAGATGCTTTTACCCCCTGAGCCATCTCCCCAGACAAGATGAGGCTTGAGTCATTACAGGTAAAGAGGAGAAACTGGGATGATAGACACAGTAATAATAAAAGTGGAACATGAACAAAAGTACTTAGCTTAGCTGGGTGGTGGTGATGTACACCTTTAATCCCAGCACTTGGGAGGCAGAGCCTTGTGAATTTCTATGAGTTCGAGGCCAGTCTGGTCTACAGAATGAGTTCCAGGACACAGAGTTCTAGGCTACACAGAGAAACCCTGTCTAGAAAAACCAAAGACAACTAGCTTAAATATATGACTGAAAATCTAATATGGAAATTGAGGCAGATGTTAAGTGTGCAGGATAAGAAAAAATGGTTGGATGGAAATTATATACTAGAGCCATTGGTTTAAAACTAACAGGCACCTAGTTTTATAAACTTCTGAAGTATAAAATCCTATTTTCAAAAGATAATATCCAGGGGTTGGGGATTTAGCTCAGTGGTAGAGCTCTTGCCTAGCTAAATGCAAGGCTCTGGGTTCGGTCCTCATCTCTGGGAAAAAAGAAAAAAGCTGAGTGGTGGTGGTGCATGACTTTAATCCCAGCACTTGGGAGGCAGAGGCAGGCAGATCTGAGTTTGAGGCCAGCCTAATCTACAGAGCGAATTTCAGGACAGCCAGGGCTACACAGAGAAATCCTGTCTTGAAAATAAAATAAAATCCCAAAACCAAACAAAAAAAAAAAAAAACCCAAAACAACAACAAGCTGATATTTGTTTGTTATTAATTTCAAAGCTGATATTTTGAAGCTGGACTTTCCAAGAGGAATTATTAAGCCACCTAAAAACAAGCCACATCACTAGCAACATCAGCAATGTGGACTTGAGTCTAGTCTCATAACTTGAACTTGTATGTTTAGATGTGACGATGGCTAGGAGGCTTTTGATCTACAGTAATCATTCTTAGCGTTTTCCAGACCTGACTCTGAAGGACGGGCTGCAATGAATGCAGTTTCACTACCACCTCCACCAAGTGCACGTGTGTCTGGTCTGGACCACTGGCATCAGCACTTCAGCCATTACTCTAGGGCACAGGCTGACCAGCAACTTCCACAGAAGCTGCTACACAAATTCGCTTATTTAAGGTGGCAACCATTTCACTCAACGCAGGATGCTCACCTGTGACATATATAACATGACCGGTCTTTGTGTGTGGGACAGCCTGTTCCTCCTCCAATCCCATAAACATACTGGTTGCTTTTGGAAGAGTTTTCGGCAAAGTAAATTCCAGCTCCAAACATCCCTCCAATATATGCATGTCGCTCATCAAACCCTTTATGAATAATTGCATTAATAAAAGGAGAACCTACAACATAAAGGTGGAAAAATTAGTTTATACTATTGTCACCAAACACACTAATCCTAAAGAGGGAAAAGAAAAACCTGGTGGCTCAGGTTGGAGTTCAGAAGTTCAGAAAGCCGTTCCCACTGCACATGCTTTGGAAAGCCTGGGCCAACATGAAAATCATTAAGAAACCAGGAATTACTTCAGCCCAGTCAGTGCAAACAAGTCATTTGAACGTATTGCTAATCAACCGCATGGGCTTCTCCCGTTCCTAACCCCGAGTGCAGGAGACCCCTGCAGCCGGCACCAGCACTCACCGTGGAACAGCATGCGTTCATTGTGATGGTTGTGATTCTCCTCTGACACCTCTTTCTGTCTGTGACAGAATCGCTCCCTCAGCTTCTTGTTCACAACTTTCTGAATCTTCACGAAGGAAGGAAAAAATTGTTCCTAGTTAACTGTAAATATCTGATTGACAATGACAATTGGTTTTCCCTTGGTGTGTCAATTTTGTTTGGTTTGACACATTATCTAAAAGTCACCGTGTCAGTGGAATTCAGTTAATATGCTAGCTCTTTATTTTATTTTGTTTTTTCCGAGACAGGCAGCTTTGGCGCCTATCCTGGAACTCGTCCTATAGACCAGACTGGCCTCGAACTCAGAGATCTGCCCGCCTCTGCCTCCCGTTGTGCATGCACCACCACACACAGCTAAAACGCTAGCTTTTAGTGACATAATTTTCCCAGTTCTTGTTATTTAGTAGTTCATTGTTCATGTGAAGGAAAGTGAGTGCCCGTGAGTGTGCAGCCAGAAATCAACCATGAGAACCCTGGTCTAGTACTCTCCATCTTATTTTTGAGGAGGTCCCTCCCTGACCCTGAAGTTTACTGTTGGCTAGACTAGCTGGCCAGTGACCTTCCCTCCTATCTCCGCCTCCCACTGTTGAGATAAGGGCACACACCACCATGTCTGATCTAACATGTGTGCTGGGGATCCTAACTCAGCTCCCTCACATTTGAGCAGCTCGCACTTAACCCACTAAGCCATTTCCGCAGCCGCCTCTAGTCTGTATTAAACAAATGACGACAAAACCTTTTACGGCTTATTTTGATATATACCAGGATAATTCCTGTAAGTCTATTAAGAAAGGATTAAACCAGTTCTCAACAGATGTAATTCACCTTCATGATAGCCTCTGAAAAAGCAGGTGGTGGCCACATAGTTTTTTTCTGTGACTTAAGAGACAAATGCATTCTGATCTCATCAATGACCAGTCAACAGACAATCCAGGCCTTTCATAAATGCTACTTTCAAATGATTTAACTGCTATTGAGAGTCCAAATTTGAGGCAGCATGGTGATACGTCTTTGGCACTGATACCAGCTGCCATGTGACCTGGAGTTTTGCCGTTTTCAGGGTCTCAATTTTTGGCCCAGCTTGGTTTTAGGGTTAGAGGTTACAGTAAAGAGAAAAACAGCTGATTTCAGGACAACAGATGATCATTTTTGACAACTTGAAAATTTTCCTCCAGAATTCCTACAATTCTTTCCATTGTCTAGATGATTTTTGTATTAGCTTTCCAATCCAATTTTCACCATAAAGATGGACAAACGTACCCGAATGACATTGTATCTGTTGAAGATGCCGCCAGCATTGCCGCCATCCCTGTGTTCTCGAATAGTACTCTGCATCTGCAGAACAAAGGGAAAGACTAACTTCATGAGAGTCAACAGTGTATTCCTTCTGCTACCTCCAGAATGGTCCACTTCTTCCAGCTGTCTCCCTGATGAATCTGAATCTCATTAACAGGAGTTCACTACAACTGATCAACACATTTAATGAGTATTTGTGTGAGAAAAAATAATGAATACTAATGTAAGCATTTTCTGATAAAAGTTTTGGGAGATTTTTTGTAAACACAATAGGGAAACTGAAAAAAAGTTATCACTTTAAATAATGTATAATTACTATTTGATACGAGAATGAAAAGAAACTGAGTAAGTCAAACTGAAGTGATATTCAACTGACAGCATATTAGATAAAAAATAAAAAAAATATTAAAAATACATTTTTATTTCATTTGATCTCATTTGTCTTTGGGATCTTGATGTATCAACTCAGGTAAGAGAAGTTGAGTGTGTTCTCCTGACCACTGCTAATCCCTTCACTCTCAAATGTAAAATAATTACTAGGGAAAAGGAAGTGTTTTAAAGACTTAAGCAAGGCCCCAGGTTTCAAGCCTGCCTCACAGAGTCTCTGACAACTGATGTGGAGTGAGCTCTACTCACACTCCACTCAGGGGAATGTCGAGCACGCATCTTCCATGGAGAGAACCTACTATGGGACAATGGGACAATAAGGCACCAGAAGACACACTGTCTTCCTGATGACCTAATGGGAACAAACATCATTACAGGGCATGACAATCCAGTATTTCCTAATGTGGCTTCCTAGCACAGAATGGAGATAATACGGGCACTAATTAAAAATAAATAAAGCAAACAACAGGACACCCTTAACTGCAGACAAACCCGCTCCTGCTTGGGTGTCTGTATGATAATGGAACGAGGCAGCTTACAGTGACAGAGTTAGATATGGCATTAGGTGCAGGAAACACAAGCCACCAGCACAGAGGAAATTTCTACACCACGTTTCTACAAGCGGTTTACAAGCAATCTTATTACAGTGTTGGAAAGAATTGGGATTGTGAAAATTAATTGTGAGACAGAATCTTCTGTAATCATGTAATCAACTTCAGAGGCATATGTGATAATCAGACACTTTACTGAAGAAACACACTTAACTACATAAAAAATAAAGATGGAGTATTTTCTGTCTATAAGGCAAGATCCTCACTCCATATCAATCTTAGGCACGTCTTACTGTATGAAAATGTTCTAAAAGGATTATTGCTTGCATGACTTAAAACTTACAAAAGTTCCAGAATAAAAAGATAGAGCTACTCTCCATATAGACTTGTGATACGAAAGCAATGTGTATAGTTTTAGTCTATAATCACATTTAAATGCTTGCTAGGGACTGAGAACGAGTAACAGGCCAGTGATCCCAGAACAGAATAAGATGAGTTTACGTCCCCTGGAAAAACAGTCTTAACAGAATTGGGGAAAATAAAAACTTTTTGATGTCTATTACCTCTTCTTCTACTGACTGATACTCTTTATCTTCTGGAGCAAGATCTAGTAAAATAGTCCCCTGATTCACACAGTGAAAAGTCAAATATGGATTGGTTCCTGTAGAAGAAAAAAAAAACATAAAGCGCAAGTCCACATCACCCCAGTTTTACTAAGTTTATGGAAAACTTGGTTATAACTAACTGACAGTTTGAAACAGTCCTAAACTGTTCAATCTTGCCCCACACATACAGTCTGTTAAGCAAATGTACCAGAGGCACAAGAAGAATGAGGTGTTTAGGGACTTATGCACTCCCAGGAATTCCTACACAGCAGGGCTCAACACCCGCTGAAGTGAACTTCATCATGAACATAGCTGATGATATGTACACAAAAGAGAAACACACACTGAATTACAATGGAGTGAGTTCTAAAATACAAGAATTGTCCTCAGAAACCCCAGGGATGGCTTGAAATGCTCACCAACATAACTTATCTGTAATTTCATAGGGTTGGCTAAAATACATGTTAAAAATAAAAAAGAAGTCAAATTCCAAACTGTCTAAGTTTTGGTTGCATGCAATATCAGCTCCATAGATAAACTATGTTTCCCTGTCTTGACTTTCTCTCCTCTATAGCAATGCTTCTAACAGAGAAACACAGTAACCATGGAAGGAAGAGAAGAGGCCTGTGACAGCCAAGGCAGGGTGATGGAAATGGATGAGTTGTGGATTCTGAAAAGCTGAGGTCGTGTGTGATTTTATCAGCACTGGGGTACTACTGTGTCCGTGTGTGATTTTATCAGCACTGGGGCACTACTGTGTCGGTGTGTGATTTTATCAGCACTGGGGCACTACTGTGTCTGTGTGAGATTTTTATCAGCACTGGGGTACTACTGTGTCGGTGTGTGATTTTATCAGCACTGGGGCACTACTGTGTCTGTGTGAGATTTTATCAGCACTGGGGTACTACTGTGTCGGTGTGTGATTTTATCAGCACTGGGGCACTACTGTGTCTGTGTGAGATTTTATCAGCACTGGGGTACTACTGTGTCGGTGTGTGATTTTATCAGCACTGGGGCACTACTGTGTCCGTGTGTGATTTTATCAGCACTGGGGTACTACTGTGTCCGTGTGAGATTTTATCAGCACTGGAGCAATACTGACGGGTTAAGAGGGTTAAGTGCAGGAGGAGAGAGAGGGTCCTGGGCTCACGCTGGAGGGGCCTCTGGGGGAGAAGGCAGCGAGGGAGGTAAAGGTGCGGAGGTCAGCTGACAGTGGCCCTGAGGCCCAGGAGAGGGGATGGTGGCTTGAGCTAGGCGACAACAGTGGGAAAAGACAAAGTACAAAGACTGGAGAGAAAATTCAGGACATAAAGAATAGAGAGAGGGATGGTCACAGGCCTTCCTGGTTAGTAAAGGTGATTAGCTGAGCTGAGGAAGGCAGGGGGCGCTATACCTGTTACCTGCACGTGTTCAAGCTCCCAAACCAGCTTTAATATTTCTTTATAAGTTCTAAATATATATAAAAATATTTGTATGATATATGTTTACAGATCACATTTATAGATAGATAAAATATTATATAGTCAAGACTTTTATATAACATATGCTTTATGTATTTATATACACATATATAATATACAAAAGATGATCTATATAAAGACGCAAACATACTTTTGAAATAGCTTACCTTGTTGTCCACCGAGAAGTCTTTCAACGCCCTTGATTAACTTGTGGCGGTGTCCATACGCATTGATGCCTATTTCTTTCAGCTCTTCATGACCCATATCAGCCAACACGTCTAGTGTAATCTGGAAAGTGAAAGACTTAGATACTGAGTCTGTAACAGCTCTCTGGAGGATAATAGCTCTTGCACCTGTCTATAGTGCTATGATTACCACACAAGTTTAAGGAACCTGTTTCCCTTTATAAACAAGACCTTCAAGCTGCCTAAGACAACGGGCAGCCTCCTCGCTCGGTAGAAACACTTCCGCATTTGCTTCAAGCAGATGGAGACTGAAGATGGAGACCCAGTGTGAAGGGAAGGCAGATGATGACTGCCATGTCTCTTTCTGACTGCAATTCTACCGTCTACTGTTTGCCTCCAGATAGATGAATCAGCAACTTGAAAATGGGAAGACCCCAAACTCAGTATCTTGTGGGTAGGACAAGCGAATAACAGAGGGAAGACAGAAGCATTTTAATTAGTCACAGTGTGGCAAAAGTAGGTGTACTTTAGATAAGAAAATTTCCAGTGCCAGGTAGTAAGCAAGCCAGGAGTCAGCGGTTATAGGAGTTAGTTAGATTTCAAGTTTAAGTTTAGATCACAGGTAATTTTATAAAGAAACGACATCAGAAATTCCGTTTCAGAGAAAAAGAAGGGAGATATGCTTTTCAAGTTCATAACTTGTCAGGGTAGCAGTCCCTGCTGCCTAACACATTCCATGTTTGTACAGAACGTGGCCTTCGAGTTCTGGTGACTCACTTCGGATGACAAGCAGGAGCTTGCTGATTTCCTCACACCTTTGTGGACTACAGCTGTGACTCTACCTCCACCCAGTGGCAAAGTTCTGAAATCACCTGGAGCCAGGATGGCACTGGCAGTTCTCTAGGACAGACAAAGGTCCTGGGATAAACACTAGTCTGCTGCTCTTCATTTTTTTTATTTCTTGGGAGAATTGAAATATCCTTTTATAGACATTCTTTTTCTAACTCATACAAGATTAAAAAATATAAGTATCCGGGCTGGAGAGACAGCTCAGTGGTTAAGAGCACTGGCTGCTCTTCCAGAGGTCCCGAGTTCAATTCCCAGCAACCACAATCATTTGTAATGAGATCTGGTGTCCTCTTCTGGCATGCAGGTAGAACACTGTATACATAATCAATCTATCTATCTATCTATCTATCTATCTATCTATCTATCTATCTATCTATCTATCTATCTATAACTTTCTCAATCCTTATACTTAAACACAGAGTGACAAATCGGGCCCCGAGCTCTGATTTTTACTGTCAAAATGAAACAGTACACAATGAGCTGGGTCATCTCAGCGCAAGGAACACCACCACTCATTCTCTGAAGTAATTTTGCATATTACTGCTAAGTGGCCATTGAAGAAATAATTGTTTCATTACACAAAATGAGCAATTCACTTCTAATCACCCAAAGGAAGTTTTCAACAGAGCTTTCAAAAGACAACTACTCTGAAATATCCATCTTCGCAATAGTACAGTTTACAAAATAGGAATCTTTACATTTTAAGTTAAACCTGATTTTAATACAATGTTACTGATATATTTTTCTTTTATATATTTTATACTTTGGTTTAAATACGGTTGACAATAGAAACACAGCCATATATATATATACATACATACATACATACATATACATACACACACATATATATATAATATATATATATTATATATATATATATATAGAGAGAGAGAGAGAGAGAGACTTTAGGCTATGGACATAAAAATCTTTTTAATTGATGCACATAGAGCATAGCTGAAGGGTGTCAAAATCAGGCTAGATGATACAACCAAACCATAAACAAAGAATATTGATAATCATGCTCCAGTGAGGAAATGAAGAAAGTTTAATAAACAGGCTTGTAGTCAAAAACTGGATGTGGAAATCCTCGTCCAAGCCTCCTGCCCCAGCAAAGGAACCCTGGAATTACTACACTCCAGTTTACAAAGCAGGGCTCCTATGTGCTGTGGAAAGCAGCCTCTATAATGGCTGCCAGAGATCTCAGTCCCTAGGATTTGTGTCCTGATTGTAATTCTTCCCCCTTGGGTGTGGGTGGGCTACACTCACTGACCAATTACTAAAGCAGTATAGCAGAAATGACAGAACAGTACTTTTCCCCTTACATTCAATCAGTATCTTTGTTATTTTTAACCTCACTGACTTATTTGGCATGGGGGAACAGTCAGAGAATACGCTTAGTTACTTGGAAGGAATCACAACTTTCTTTGGGGGGAGGTTACTCGTGTCTAACATATATCAATAGAAAATCTTTAGAATAAAGTTTATTTATTTACAAGCTAAAAATAGGTCCACATGCAAAGTAAATGCAATGTCTTATAGGTTTGCCTCCTGCTCCTAAAATTTGTTCATTTTGCCTGGGGTGTGGAGAGAAAATTATTTGAACTGAAAGGACCTTTCTTTCACTTAGGTGGTGGTGGTGACTTTATAATCATGTTTACAATGAATTTACTTGAGTCCAAGCTTTTGTTTGATCACAATTTGAAATAAAAACATGTATAGTTACTTTCTATGAAAATATATAGACTGACTATAAATATACCCAGTCAGTCAAGTCATAGCAGTTGAGCTCCAGAAATTACAATAGCAATCAAATTTTTCTTTCTCATAGACACAGCATTCTAGGTAGGAAGCTACATTTTAAGCGGGAGTCAATACTGCACGATGCTGCAGTTAATTAGAAGGGATTTTGGTATATTTTTGGAAAGTATCTATATGGAATAAGATAACAGAGATTTCTGAGAAAAGAATTGTGAAGGTCGAGCTGAGAATATGATGATACACTAAAGTTCTTCCAGCACCAGAAATAAAATAATCATCTCCCACCTTACTGGGAGAGGAGTATTCACATGCAGGCACAGAGGCAGCAGAACACAGTATATCAGTCTCAGGAAACACTACAGGAATTAAGGGGCACACTTCCACACTACACAAGTACGCTGACACACATTATTGGGCTGCTGTAGAATGTCTATGACAGAAAAGAAGGTTATTTTTTGGTTTTGTTTTGTTTTGGAGACAGGGTTTTTTCTGTGTAGCTTTGGAGCCTGTCCTGGAACTCACTTTGTAGACCAGGCTGGCTTTGAGCTCACAGAGATCTGCCTGCCTCTGCCTCTGAGTGCTGGGATTAAAGGCATGTGCCACCATGCCCAGCCTTAAATAATTTATTTTTTTATTTTATATGTATTGGTGTTTTGCCTGCAAGTATGTCTGTGTGAAGGTGTCAGATGCCCTGGAACTGGAGTTATAGACAGTTGTGAGCTGCCATGTTGGAGCTGAGAATTGAACCAGGGTCCTCTGGAAGAGCGGCCAGTGCTCTTAACCACTGAGCCATCTCTCCAGTCCTTACAGAAAAGAAAATTCTAGTGGTATGCTATGGAAGAATTAAGTGGACTTAATATTTTATAACCGAGGACTAAACAAATAACATCTGCACTTGAAATAATAAGTACAAACTTAATTGCCTGCCCAACAGCAGAGAAGACAGTCAGACATAGTTTGATACAAAGAAAGGCACACCACTGATCTAGAGGAGGGGCTACACCAGGTAATATACATAAGTGCAATAGTTAACATCGTGACTATGAAAAGGATATAGAAATTGTTTTAGACAAAAGGAAACTCAATGGAACACCGATTTACTCAACAAAAGTTCAGGAAAAAGGAACAATAGAACAGATAAAATGGGTAAGCTGTCAGAAGAACTGATGAAGGCTGACTCATCCAACTACTAAGTCAGTAACACAGAAACACGCCACAGGAGGTCAGTCACTGACACAGAGAACATACAATAAGAAGTAAAGAACAAACAGAGCTGTCCATCACAATGCAAGCTGATGAAAGCGCACAACTACAGTTCTAGGAAAAGCTCTCAATAGGAGGTGGAGTCACTTGTTTGAATTAGGGTTTTTGGCTTATTAAACTAAGACAATTACTGTGATCACAATTCAGACTGAAGGGATACAGTTGTTCATGTAGCTACAGCAGAGGATGTGTTTGAACAACTTCAAAGCCTCACTGTTTATGGTGTTCTCACAGGAAATCTCTAGCCCAGAAGATGAACAGATAGATGACAGGGAGAGGAAATTCTTATAGTGGAGTATAACATCTTCACCACAAATGAAGACCCATGTGACACCTTTACAAAGTATGATTTAAAAGATGACAAAACCACACAGTTTTGCCAGGAATTTTAAGCATTCACATATTGTAGGTGTGCTTAACTGACTGGCAAGAGAATTGATTGGCTAAATGCCTCTTAACCTACCTTTATAGTCAGAAAAAGACCAAAGTGTTTAGTTAGTTCAATTCCATTTCAACTGTTTGAGTCATTAAAAATACTAAGGATGAACTATAATAAATGTAAAATTTATTTAACCAAAGAAAAGTCTAAGAAAATCTTACTATAAATCATATAAAAATTAAAAACAACAACAAACAAACAAAGCACTTTCCAGATATTTTTTGAAGTAAGGTTTCACTGAAGCCCAGACTATCTTTTAACTTGCTATGCAGCCCAGGCCAGCCTCAATCTTGTGATCTTCCTGCTTCACCCTCCCAAGTGCTAGTTATAGGAGTGTGCCACCTACCTGTATTAACCAGGGTATTTAATGAAGTTAAAGACAGACTACAAGCTTACAAGGAATAAAGGACAGCGCAAGGACCCGTGAACAACACTCCCACATACTAAAACACTGAATGAGTTTATTGATTACAGAAGGGTTATTTGTAGAGGCTGATGGTTGCAAAGGGAAAGTCTATGATAAATTGCCTTGGCTTAAAAAGATAAAAAGGCTCATACACACATGCTTGCTGTGGGTTGAGTGTGAGCCTTCCAAAAGATAGGCCCTTCTCCCTAGAAGGGATAAGTTCCAAAAATGTTAACACTTTTTGGAGCGAGCTGTCCCTAGATGCTTAAGTTAAGGATCTTGGGACCAGGAATCACCCAAGAGGACCCAGGTTTGAAGGAAGTGTCCTAGTAAGAGGCACACGAAAAGGTAGACACAGGACAAAGCAATGTGACACCAGCAGAGACTGGAATGATGTGACCCTAAGTCAGGGAGGCAGGAAGGGCAGGGAGCAGACTATTCTAGAGCTGCTGCAGGGATGCACCTCAACAATATGAGTTCAGTCTCCTGATAGAACAGATTCCTGTGAGGCTACCAAGTCCATAGTCATCTGCTCTGTAGCTCTACCAAACTCAGTGCACACACTGCTAAAGAACAACTTTAGTGCATGGGGCAGATTGTGGAACACAGTCACAAAACAAAGGGATCTGAAGAGGTCCATGAAGCTCCTTAGATCTTAAGAAGATATGAACAGCTATATTCTATCCCACAAGGCATCTTTCCTGCCAGGAAGGCTGACATCTGTAAGGAGGTAACTCTGTATCTGGGAGAATGATGTACTGGGCTCTAAGTGCCTCTCTCATTCTAAGGTGCCACATCTAGCAGTAACACTAAACTCAGCTTTATCTTCAGTGTTTATCATGGAGCACAGTAGTAAAAACTCATTATCCTTGGCAACACAGTCTGACAAACAGAAGAGTTCTCACTAGTAAACACAATGAGATGAGAACATAAATGCCAGTGTCTTTTGGAAACAAAAAACTCAGACAAAATAAAAAAATACTACTGAGGCAGTTTCTTGATCTAAGCTCACCAAGTGCTCTGCCATCATGCTGTCCCCTCGTTTCTCAAGGTCTAACCGATCATGACAATGCACTGAGCAAGACTGCTCACAAATAGAAAGGACAGCCCTCTCAACTGTCAGATAATTTTGGAGAGAGACATAGAGTGCTGGGCTCCCTGGCTTCTCTAGAAACATCACAGGCAGCTAATAAACATGGTAAAAACGTACCTGAAACAAACAGATTAAGAATGGGGCAGATTGTGGAACACGTTAAGTCACAAAATAGAATACATAATACAAAGTTCAGAACAAAAAACAATGTGGGTAGTAAACAATCCAATAGCTGAAGAGCTGAAGAGCTGACAAAGTAGACAAGAGCTTACCTGCTCTGTTTCAAAGATATCCCGAAGGTGTTCAAGGCCAAGGCTTTTAAGGAATTGGCTGATATTCATGTCAAGACCTGCAACTAAAACAGAAACATTACATCTCTTAGAAATGTCTAATCCTATGGAAAGTTTCAGTATTTATGTATAATCCTATTTCTTCTTATTCATTCATTCATTCATTCATTCATTTATTTATTTTTCGGGACAGGGTTTTTCTGTGTAACAGCTCTGGCTGTCTGGGAACTCACTCTATAAACCAGGCTGGCCTCAAACTCATAGAGATCCACCTGCCTCTGTCTCCTGAGTACTGGGATTAAAGGTGTGCGCCCATCACCACCTGGCATAACCCTATTTCTTGACCCTTGCCTATACAGATGATTTCACATGATATAAAATAATGTCAAATACATAACTTAAGCACTTCAAGTTATTCTGAATTTTATTTTTGGCATAGCAATAGAATAGTACTTACATTAATTCTACTACACATAAAACAGAATTAAAATAGATTTATATAAGATATATAGTAAATATGGTATTAATTTCTAATATCACATTATTTATATAATTTTAAAGATTTTATTATTTTTAATTACGTGTGTGTGTGTGTGTGCGCGCGTGCCTGTTTATGCGTGAGTACGTGCATGTTGAGTCTAGGTGTTGCTGGAAGCCAGAAGAGAATACTAGATATCCTGGAGGTGGAGTGAAGGGGGTTGTGAGCTACCCAGTGTGGGTGCTGGGAACTAACCTAGGTCCACTGGAAAAGTAGTGCCTAAGCTCCAGTCCATATTTAATAGAATTAAATACTTTTAAATGAATTAAGAAAGGAAATCAAAAGTAACAGCTATTGTTTTGATTTATTCTTTATAAAAATTATTTTACTTATTTCTGTGTGTATAGTACATGTGTGTGTACATGTGTGTGTCTGTGGAGGCCAGAGGTCAATGCTGAGTGTCTTCCTCATTACCTATCTAACCACCCAGCCACTCACCTATCTCTGTCTTCTAGAGAGTCTCTCACTGAACCTGGAGCTCACTTACCCAGCTAAACCGTCTGGCCAGCGAGTTCCAGGAATCCTCTTTGGGAACACTCAGCCCCTGCACCCAGCTTTTTACATGGATGTTGGTTATCCAAAGTCAAGTCCTCGTCCCCCCTCTACTTTCCTTTCACACCCCACCCCCATATTTGATAGGGTCTCACCATACAGTCCAGGATGTCCTTGAACTCAGAAAGGTTTAGAGAGAGGCTATCTTTAAGTTTTTAATAACCTAAAGAGAAAAGTAACTGGCCACTCACAGGGCTCCACCTACCTTCTCCTTCCTTCCTGTCTGCACCGGCGGCGCCATCCCCTGCATTGGAGGCCCCTCCTACAGCCAGCTCCGCCAAAGGGCCAGTGAGGTTATCTATGCTGCTGGCAGCTGAGAGGCAGGAGGGGGTGGACGCTGGCGAAATCAGAGAGGCACTAACCACAGTTGCCTGAGGTTTAAAACAGGTAGGTAAGGCCTCTGGGGGCATGGCATCTATCAGCAAAGCTCGGATATCATCGGCCTAAAAAATAATTGTGAAAGAAAACACAAAAGCATTATAAATGTTAAGTTTTTCACCAAGCACCAAATGTTTTGTGATTTTTTTTTTAAAGACTACTAGGCACAGAAATTGACACTTGCTTTTGGCTAGAGGCATCCAACATTGAGTGGTGGCTGTACATGAGAGCTGGAAGCTAGGCGACTGGCACAGAAAGTTAAAGGGGCTGATCTCACATGAGATATCACACAAGTACAAAGGGAACTGAGGGAACATGGGGCTCTGGCTAAGACTTCCAGGAAGAATGCCAACTGTGAAAATGAACTGCCAGTCGAGCACTGGAAGGTCGTGTCATGTCTGACATCCTCAGACAATAACCACAGGTGCAATGAGGACTTACCGTTGCCAGATCTAAAGGTGTCTGACCTTCTTGGTTCTTCATGGTTGGGTCTGCGCCATGTGCCAGGAGGAGGGCACATAACTGTGTCCTTCCTTTCTGGGCTGCTTCATGAAGCGGAGTAAATGCCCACTTATCCGTTGCGTTTACACATGTGTTGTATTTTATCAGTAACGCTGCTATGTCCACATGCTGAGAAAAGCAAGAGGACACAGAGGCTGAAGAAGAAAAGCTCCTGCTAGAGTTCCACCAAGTATCCCTGTTTCTAGTCAACAATTCATTCCTTCTAGGCCTGTGTTCTCATCCTTAATAGAAGTGTCTTCTTAAAAACCAACACACACACACACACACACACACACACACACACACACACACACTCCCTCTCCTGTGTTTCAGACTTGTCTCCCCACAACTATTCTTTTGCCCTTCTAATTCTGTTTTGTTTTCTGAGGCTGGGTCTCATATAGCTCATATAGTTTGAGGCTGGCCTCAAACTAGTTATTCCAAAAGTAAAGATCAGTTAATTCCTAAGAAAGGCTTCCCACTGCTGCTAATATGAAGAGAGGTGGGCAGCCGGATGAAACTAGGGTTCTTCTGAGATCAGGCTGGTTTATTACATTTTAAAATCCTTTGGGGATAATGAGAACATTATAAAATTAATTTTGCAGTCTATGTGCAGACTTCTATCATGAAAGCTAGCTATGATTCTATCAAAACCACTTCAAACAAAATAAAACCCCAGTTGTCTTCCTTATTCAAAGGATGTGTTGGAAAAGCCCTTCTGTTCAGTCAATCCAAAAACATGGGATCACTTAAAACCATTCCTCAAATCATCTAGGTTACTTAAACTTTGCTTCCTGTATTTTATTAAAAGAGTAATGCAATTTGGCAGACTAATTTGCACAGACTTCCAAAATTACATAGTCCAAGAAAGTTACAGTTTGTGTGTATGTGGGTATATAAATGAGCTGTGTATTCAGTATGTATTGTTAAACACTCTTTCTATTGAATTTACAGTGTGTGTTTAGTGAAACAATTACGTGCTTGCTAAATTGGCTGGCAAATGTCTAAAAGATCAAGAAGAGGAAGGAGTATTACCCAAGTAGAGTCAAAACACAATTCTTAGGCTTTCAGTTCCTCTTAGGTGGCTATACTACCAGGGCAAACAATGGTAACTGAATGCACAGGGAAGCTCCGGTCTCCCTAACAGCATAGGACTGAGAGACGCCTAGCCGAGGGGCTGACTGCTGCAGAGTGGCTTGTCTACAAGGCTGGTTTGATGGGGCCTCAGCATCGAGCTGCATCCCGAAATGCTGTGCGTGACAACCACGGCATAAAGACGGGGCACTCGATTTTAAAAAGATGGGAACTAGAAGAGAAATGTGGGCTACGCTAAAACCTTTACTGTATGTGGGCTCCACAACAATGATGGCATGAGCCTCCCAATATCATCCATTTTAGGGAAAACACTGCAGAATGAGAAAGTGGAGAAAGAAAGCCATCCTGTCAAATGATTTACTCATAAAATCACATGCTTTGGTAAGGAATAAATACCAACCTTTTATATTTAATAATAGCACAGAAATGAACTGCCCTTTGTATGTATAAGTTAAGAAATAATACCTAACACATTATAATATAAATGATACTAAGCAGAATAAGGCACACTATCATAAGCAAAAATTCTCATGAAACTTGTAACTTTTAAGGTTTTTTTTTGTTTGTTTGTTTTTGTTTTTTTGTTTTTGAGACAGGATTTCTCTGTGTAGCTTTGGCGCCTTTCCTGGAACTTAACTCTGTAGACCAGGCTGGCCTTGAACTCACAGAGATCTGCCTGCCTCTGTCTCCCGAGTCCTGGGATTATAGATGTGTGCTATCACCTCCCAGCCTTCTTTTAAGTTTCTTAAACACATGTTTGTTTCTCCATTAGAAAAAAAACTAAGATGGCTTTTTTAAAAATGCAGATCTGAAGAGCAGACAGAGCTCCAAGTACAATAATTCGCAAAATCTACCTGAGGTGGATGTAAGATTTATACATGACCCGTCATACACCAATGATGGGTGATGTTGTTTTGTATGCTGTGAATGTGTTGCTCTGAGTGGTTGATAAATAAAGTGGTGAGGCAGAATAAGGTTAGGTGGGACATGCCAACTAGAGAGAGAAAGGCAGAGAGAGGAGACACTGCTAGCTGCCACCAGGAGAAGCAAGATGTAAAGTACTGGTAAGCCACAAGCCACGTGGCAAAGTGTAGATTTATAGAAATGAGTTAATTTTATAAGAACTAGCTAGCAAGAAGCCTTCCATGGCTATAGTTTAAAAATAATATAAGCCTCTGTGTGTTTACTTGGGTCTGAGAGGCTGCGGGATCAGCAGGTGAGAGAGATTTGTCCTGACCATGGGCCAAGCGGGACACAGGAAAACGTTCAGCTACACACCAATTACTGTGTTAAATAATGTGCAAAGAGACAGAAAGTATGGCTGTTCATCAAAAAGTAGTTACATGGGAAGTGTGACAACACTTGTACAGATGGTTAAAATGCACTCAACTAAGCTGTTGGTTAGAAATCTGTTCCTTAACGTGTAGTATATGTTTAGTAAACTATTACATGCCAGGGAAGGTTTCCAGATGTTCACTGTAACATGCTCACCCCATAAGATGCTGCATTGTGAAGTGGAATTAAACCTCCTTTGTCCTGGGCGTTGACATCAGCTCCATGCTCTAGAAGGTATTCAGCTACTTCCAGGTTATTGTAGCCTGCTATTAGAGTAAAAAGGGACATGTCAGGTCAAGAGAAATAAACACAACTCACACACATCTATAAAGAAAGACCAGAAAAATTTAAAATTTTAATTTTTTTCTTCAAAAGCTAATACTATCTTCACATAATAGAGTCTTTACTGAAGTGTACAATACATGTCAGTCTCTTTCACAGATACTGCAGGCACCAAGCGTGAGTTTGGAGGTCTTAGGACAATCTGCAGGAGTTGATTCTCTCCATTGACCACGTGAGTTTTGGGAATTGAACTTGGGTTGTGAAGCTTGGTGGCAAGCACCTTTAACTGTTGGGCTATCTCACCAATCCTCTTCCACCTTGCAAGCCAAGTGGTTAAGCACCAAGCACAAAGTTTAGTAGTATTTAACTGAATATTAAGAAGGACAACAGAATGATGCACAGTGACACTTACCTGCCAGATGCAGAGGAGTTGAGTTTCTGCCCTGGGTGTCTCTGCAGTTGATATTCTCTGGTGTACAAAGCTTCTGCACTCTGGCCAGGCAGCCCTTCTTGGCAGCATCCAGCAGGGCAGCATCCCCCCTCAGTAGGTCCTGAATATCTGTGTCTCCTTCTTTGACCAGATCTAGGGGTGTATTTCCATCTCTGTTCTTCTTGGTTGGATCTGCTCCATGCTGGAAGATAGAACCCGCATGGTGCCTGTGTGTGTGCGTGGGCGGGCAGGTAGCATATCCATCATTTACTCAGTTTGCTGTCTACACCTTCACTTGTCTGGAGAGAATCTATTCTACAGGCACTTTGAAAACAGGAGTCTGAATTTTCCTTTATTTTGTTACTACTTAGAAAAACGATCCAAGATCTTGCTGACTACTAAATTAAAGCCTCAGGGTCAATGGTGACAGTGTGCTGGGAGGACACTGAGCATCTTTTGTGACAAACTTCTCCTGAGACTTGAAGTTACCTTTGAAAATGCTTTTATTTTTTATAATGGTCTAGATGTTAATTCTGGCCAGACTTCAATTGCAACACATACACACACACATAGACACACACACAGACACAGACACACACAGACACAGACACAGACACACACAGACACACACAGACACACACACACACACACACACACACACACACACACACACACACACACACACACACACACAGTTTTAGTGATAAAACTAGGGCCTCATACTTGGTAGGCAAGAACTCCACCACTGAATTATAGCCCCAACTCAAACTGCACAAAGATATTTAGGCAGCATCATGGGAAAGAAAAGAGGAATACACACAGGTAGAAAAAAAAATAATGAATTCTAAATGGCATCAGTTAAAAAATGTATTTCATGATGTATAAATATGCTTAAAAAAACTGCCTTGTTTTAAAATTATCTATACCTGTAGGGCAAGAATACTACAGACCTGATATAGACAGCTGTTGACCTATTATGGAAATTAAGAATAATCTAAGCTAGCCAGGTGTGGTAGTGCATACCTTTAATCTCAGCATTTGGGGGGCAGAGGCAGGCAGATCTCTGTGACTTCCAGGCCAGCCTGGTTTACAGAGTGAGACTTCACCTTAAATCAACCAACCAAAATCAACCAACCAACCAACCAACCAACCCACCCACCCACCCACCCACCCACCCCAATATTCAAGTCAGATAATGAATTAATAATGACCTATAGGTGATTTGTTTAAAGTAACTAGTAGTAATATTTGCCATACATATTTATGGTATTATTGTATCAAATAAAAATATAGAGTACTTACAAGAGCAATTTTTCTCTGGTTAAGATGAGAAACCACACAGATGTCTTCTAAGACATACATGTGTATGTGATATTTAGTAAGGATGGGTTAACAGTATCATTAGCTATGATGGTAGCAATAGTAACTGTATCACAAACAGCAACATGAAGAAAAGGTCCCTTAGACCATTTTTTCTAATAATGATGCTATATTAAATAAGTCATGTAAATTAAATCAACTCTCCCCAAAACCTTAATGAAATGACCTCCATTGAATCTACTCAGGAAGACCTGTCAGGCACTAGTCAAAGCTATGTGAGTACCCTGACGTCACCTGGAAATGGATGGTCTTCTCAGCACTTGCTTTCAATACATCACAACACTCTAATTTCAAGCAATAACTAAACCCAGGCAGCTGCTGCACATCTACATACTTTTAGAAGGAGCTTGCAGATTTCATACTTTCCCTTGGCTGCTGCTTCATGGAGAGGGGTAAATTTCCACAAGTCTGCCACATTGACAGAAGCCCCATGCCTCACCAAGAGCTCAGCTACCTCATAGTGTCCATAGGAGCAGGCATTATGAAGGGGAACCAAGCCACTAAACAAAAGAAAAGCAGAGTCACAAAACAGATCAGATCTTCCAGCTAAAATAACTCTTTAATAACATGCTCTTTTGCTGGACAGGGTGGTACATGCCTATAATCTTGGTACTTGGGAGGCAAAGGCAGAAGTTCAAGGTCATCCTCAGCTACAGAGAGATTTCAACCTAGCACAAGCTACATGAGACTGCCTCAAATCCTCCTCACACCCTTCTATGGAATTGGGTATATTGAACATCCACTCAAATAGAAATATTTCCTCTTTGGTCTCTAAGATACGGGTTCCCATTTCTAGGCAAGGACTAACAACGTTTATTATTTACTGTGGTGGGTAAGTGTGCCATGGCACATGTGGAGGTCAGAGGACAACCTTGAGTCAAGCTTTCTCCCTTCCCCTTTATGCATGTTCTAGGGTTGGAACTCAGTCCAGCAGGCTTGCACAGCAGGTGTCTTTACCTGCTAAGCCATCTCACCAATTCAAACATAATAATTAAAAAATTTCAAATATAAAGTCTTCTTATATCACAGCAATCATTAGTATTGAATACATGTAGATATACGTACTCACAGAATAAAATACAACCACAATACTCTTTTTTGGTAGTGCTGGGATTAAAACCTAGGGTTTCATGCATGCCAGGGGTACTCTACCACTGACTATACACCCAGCCTTTTCTATGTTAAGATAGGTATTATTGAACTCATTCTATAAACCAAGCAAGCACTGAGTTCAAATCCCACTGTTTCAGCCTCCCAAGTGGCTGGGACCCCAAGCCTGCTTACCATCTGAGCAATGCAAAGCTCTGCATACTACAAAGTACTAGCACAGATCCTAACCAATCTGTTTTATCATCTCTCAGATTTTCTGCATTTTGGATTTTACTAATGAAAATTCCTGGCTTACTTATATGATACACAATATACAAGAATGTAATATGCAATACAAAAAATATACAAGACATTCTACTTATTTATTTGGCAAGTTTCACCATTTGTTTTAGTTATTTTTAAATTCATAATGATTCAATAGTAGTTTCTCTGCACAATTTAAATGTTGAGGTAGCAAACAATGAAAACTCTAAGTGATTTCAGAAGGGATTCCACACTGGGCGTGGTGCACACGCCTTATACCAGCACTTAGGAGGCAGAGGCGGTAGAGCTCTGTGACTTTGTGGTCATCCTGGCCTACACGTAGCAAGTTTCAGGACAGCCATATGACCGAGAGAGACCTTTGTCTCAAATAAACCAAACTCTAACCCTTCTCCCCGTAAAAAAGAAGAGAATTCACCAAGGGAGATAAAGGCTCTCCATTATAAATTCTACTCAGCTAAGAGAACCTAGCGCCCTCCTCTTCTTAGGTAACTGTCGCAGATGACTATGTTTTCACAGAAAGCAGGAGACATTCTAAAAAGTAAAGATACCCTCTCAAGTCAGTGCACCGAAGGGTCAGCTGAAGTTGACGCAGGACACGGTAAAAACAAGATAGCCAGTGTGTTCTAGCTAGAAATGAGTGTCATCTAAGGATGGTTTTAGGATGAGATCTGCTGGCACAAAAATGAGTCACAGAAGCCAACACTGGCTGCTCTCCAATGTACTAACAGTATTTTGAAACAACCAGTGATGCTGTTCTCACACTGTCATGTATGGTGCACTACTTTAGAAAGACAAACACACAACGGTCACCCGAAGCCTAAGCCAGGCAACTTCAGTGATAGCTCTACGCTAAGCAAGTGCACCAATAGGGCTGGCTGATCTGAGCAGGTGCAAAATTAACTTAGAATATGGAAATTCATTTTGGCAACAATATTCTTCTTATATTTCTAAGCAGCTGCTTTAAAAGCTTTACCTGGTTTGTCACATAATTCATCTAATATAAAAATACAGACAATTTAAACTAGTAGAAGCAGAATTATATTTCTATTAATACTGGTGATTCTGGGATGGACTGAATTCTTTTTAGAAGAAATCATCCACTTGTAATAGGAAAAAATATAATGAGAGGATGTATGTAAATTACAAATTACATACAAACATTCATAATTGAAATAAAATCCTACACACAGGCATGCAAAGGATGCACCAAGCCAGAAGACATCCCACATCTCCTCCGGGGTGAGACCTAGCTACTGCACAGAGCAAATCCCGAGGCGCTGAGTGAGGAGCGCTCACAACCAAGTGACTCACAACTGGTGTACACACCCAAGACACAGCTGGAGAACTCCAGGCCAGCTGCTCAGTTTACATCTCTAGGGGTGAGAACCTTCACTTTTATACTGTATGTCTGTTTAAGTTATGATTTAAAGGAAACATGTTTATTGTTTTAGTGGAAAAGCACCTACAACATCAAAACACACGATGTTTACAAAAAGAGTATCTGTCATTTGTAAACTTTCTTGTACTAAAGAAAGCAGTTAAGTTCTGTAGATAAAAATTACATAATTTTATACCAAATATAAGTAAACAGATTAAGTATGAGAAGACTGAAGCTCAAAGATCTGGACTTGAACACATACCCTTTGTCTTTGGCATGGACATCAGCTCCGTGGTGGAGAAGGTACTCCACAACAGACACGCGGTTATAGCCGGCAGCAAAATGCAGAGGTGTTGAATGCCGGCCCTCCAGATCTCTGCAATTCACGTTCTGTGGGCTGCAGAGTTGCTGTTGTGGTGTATGCAGACACAGAGAGAGACACAACACCATTACCAATCATTCACAGATTTTGCTCTAAAATTGTGCAGCATTTTAGATCACTATAATTATATGGTAAATATTCTCCAGATGAGATAATTAAAATGTTAAAAATTAGCACCACAGCTAGACATGGTGAGGCACCCCTAAAATCCCAGAGCTGGGGAGGGTGAGACAGGCAGATCTTGAATTTGGGGGCCAGTGTAGGTTACACAGTGAGTTTGAGGATAGTCTGGGTCACATACTGTTTCAAAAAACCCCAAAGGAGAACTGGCAGTACAATGACCACAAATACTTTTAGTATATATACAGAGGAATTTAATCCTTGTCAGCGTGCCCCAGTCCAATCTCTAATCCATCAGAAACCTCCCAAGGGCAGAAACTGAAGCCTCCTGTCTCATCTGTGTCCATCTCCCCTTCCCAAGACTACTCATCACACATGAATTCTTATGGGATACTTAGCTGCTCTTTGCTCAAGTCCACTTGAGTTGACTCCAAGGAACTAAGGAAACTAAAGAGAGTTCCTGTCCCCTGGAATGTGGGTCAAGAGAAACTTGCTTTTTAGTACTCACAAGCTCTTGATTTTACCCATTTCTTGCTGAATGTCAAAGCAATTGTATATGCCGTTTTTCAAATTTTAACATACTTTAGACAATGAACAGACCTTTCCTCCACTTCTCCCTCTAATTCTCTCTCTTCCCCTCCCCTAGGAGGTGGTGGGGAAGGGAGAAGAGGTAGAATATCACTCTCATAGTACAGGCTATCCCAGAACTCACAGTAAAGCTCCTGCCTCAGCTTTCCAGGGGGGATGAAAGACATGAGTTATCACAATCAGCTAACTTCTAATACTTTCTTAGTCTTTTGAGAAAGAAATATACCAGAGTGAATTCTCAATTTGTATGTCTTCTTTGGACACTTACATTCCACTATCAAAAATAAAATTTTCCTTTATTGTGAATGCACTGTTTAGGAACGTGAAAGCATATATTGCCTACCTCATACAAACAGATGGAATTAAAATTTGTATTCCAGCAGGCCAGCAAAACGGCCCATGGGGTAGGCACTTGGAACTGTGCCTGACAGGCTGAATTAATTCCCAGGTTCCCCGTGGTGGAAAGAGAAAGCTAACTCTAGAAAGCTGTCCCTTCCACACACGCCCACAGCACGTGCACACATGCACATACACACACAAATTAGAATATTTATTACAGTTGACGTAACACAAGTGTGTGCATGCATATCTTATTTTTTATGGTTTAGGTACTATAAGGCACAAACTGGGAAAATCTTAGCAACAGAGAACTCTCCTGTCTGTAGGTACACTGTCAATTGTTTGTAAATCTTTAAAAAACTAACTGTCTGTTTTTGAGTAGTAGATGTGTCAAATGAACTGGGTAGCAAGATTCCAACAGGAACAGCACAGGCACCATTTTACCTTCACGGTTTCCAAGTCTCCAGCTTTGGACGCCTCCAGCAGTCGATAGTCCACATCTGAAGTACGTATAGGGGTACTCTCTGTATCCAAGAAAGCAAAGATTATGTTGGCTTTTGAGGGTACTGTAGGCAGCTACAGAAGGAGATTGTTTGGTGAGGAAAGAGAGATTAAGGCTGGACATGTCTGTGAGATAATGGTTACTCTCCCAGTCTTACTCAGATGAGTACTTTTTACCTCAATTTGCACCTTCCCAAAGTCAAATTTCAATAATTCTAACACAGGGGAACACCTTTGTTTTTGTTTGTTTTCCAAGACAGAGTTTCTCTGTGTAGTTTTGGTGTCTGTCCTGGAACTCACTCTGTAGACCAGGCTGGCCTCCAACTCACAGAGATCCGCCTGGCTCTGCCTCCCGAGTGCTGGATTAAAGGCGTGTGCCATCACTACCCGGCAGGGGAACACTTTTATGCTCCACCACTCTAGTCATCAAATGTTCTGGGTAAAGACTGTGTCCATCATGGGCTCTGAGAGTGATCTCAGGTGGTCAGCCTTGCTTAGCAAGCACCTTTAACCCTGAGCCATCTAGCCAGCACAATACCTTAGCTTCTGCATTTCAAGAGTGAGCTTGCTTGTCCTCAAAGTCTCTTTCCGGCTTCAGATTACATTATATTATGAACAGACACTGAGTTCAGGGTCCCAGTGGGAAGATCAAGCGATGCTAGAATTGGCTCTAGAGTTTAGAAAAAACACTCCAGGTTTTCTGTAGTGCTTTGTTCAGAAGGGGGACTTTTATAGATAAGTTTAAGAATTCTTTGATAGAAGACAAACTATTTGATCATATTAATAATACTCAGCAGATAAAATACCAAGACTACAGAGGAAAAAAGAACATCTCAAACAATGAAGTACATTTTAAAGAATGTGTTCTATTGCATTTGTTAGTCTGTGGAGTGGCTAAGTACCAGACCCGGATCCTTGCTCCCATTATATTTCCTTTTCACAAACACAACAACTCAAAAAGTATTTGCCAAGTTGATTTTGGGCGACTTCATATCAGAGTCAATGTGTCTTTGAACCTAATTCTCGGCTGCCCGTATTCGCCTCCTTCCTGGTCCCCAGTCTCCATCCTAACAGTGCATATGTATACTGCACTTAGAGGTGAGCGAGGCTGATCTGCAACACTCTACCATGTCTCTATGAGAGTGCTTCCAGCCACAGAAGACTCAGCGAAACAGCCTTTGTGTCTTTAGGTTATTCATCACAGGACACTGATGGAAATGACGAGGAAAGTGCCACTTTTCTAGTCAAGCAAACACCTCGTGCACATACTAGAATGCTCAGAGAACTACAGAAGATCAGGGAGTAAAAGCTGAACGTGCCGACTTGCTACGACAGCAACTGTGCAGCTCTGCATCTGCATAAATCTAAAACACTAAGTTCAGAACAGGCTTGTTTCAGGGCGTGGTAGGCAAATCCCAGCTACTGAAGTAGGCGAGGCATGAATATTACAAATCCAAGGCCTGTCTAGGTTACAGAGTGAGTTCAAGACTTGCATAGGTGACTTAGTCAGACTGTGTCTTAAGATTGAAAAGCAAAAAGAGATGTGGGAATGTAGAAACATCAGTATAAAAGAACCCTCAGTATTCTCTTCCAAGAATGAAGTAATTCTGATTAAAAGGCTCTATTTCAGACAGCTCTATTATTTGCATTATCTTTCTTGATCAATAATGAATATGGCAAACTGAGTCCCACCATTTCCTAAATTAAGCATTTAGTTAACTATGTGCATCACAAATCAATTTTAGAGTAGAATTCTAAAAGTAACTGAAACTTTTTATTTATGATTCCATATTCAATTTCACTTCCCCCAGAAGCCGTATATTTGAAATGCATTTACTTAGAAGGCATTTTAAAGGCATTATATGGATCCAATTTGCTGGATTTATTTGATGCTTCATCCCCATTCTGTTAACCACTGTTAAAATTTATGTACAGTACTGTGAGAAATTGACACAGTAGCTGTGTGTCTGTTTACTTATAACTCACCGAAAGTAAAATTCAGTAGTGAATGATTCCCAGTAAAAAGCACAAAAGAATATTTCATAAAAACCCAATTTATAAAATGATAACAGCTTCCTAGTGGGGGAGTAATATCTTATCTTCCTGCAGCAGATACAAGGCAGGTGTTTAATATTCAAGATTAAACCCCTATCCATAGTCTGGTGGTGAGGACTGGTGGAAAGGCCAGTGGACGAGGAAGACGAGTAACTACACTGAATCCTTTAGCGTCTAGTTCCTAAGTTTTCAGTAGGCTGTCACTTCTAATTCTGGGAGCTAGGAAGCCGGTGCCTCTCTTCCTATCGGTTTTATGCATGCTCTGTCTACAAATCTAAAAACTGAAGCAAAATGACTGGCATGGAAGAATGAACTGCAGAGGGAGGGAGAGCCTTACAGAGTTTTCAAGGTTGTGAAATCAGTTCTTGAGATTGTTTCCCTCACACGGCATTAACACACCCACCACCACCATGTGCCCCGAGAGATTCTGTGCTTCTCAACTGGCCTGTATTTCTTAGAAGGTCTTAAAAACATTTGTGGTGTCAATTCTGGTCCTCAAGCATTGTCACAGCCAAGCTGTTATGTAATAACTGAGATTTACTGTAGCTTACTATCATTTTCCTCCTCATATTAGGATCTTTCAATAGAGATACTTAGGAAGTTTTACTGTAGATTTTTGAGTAGTTAGATCAAATAATGTATCAATAATCGGAAGAGTTTTACTTCTGGATAGAGGGTGCCATAAGACACCTGCTATACAGGAGACCCTGTGCCTGCAGAGCTCGGGTGTACTGCTTACAGTGGCCAGGCTCTGACCACCGGGCTATAGCTGTTTGTTTCTCTTTAGTTTCTGTTTGTCTACAGTAGATGGAGTCAGGACAAAGGCCAATGGGTGAGAAAGACGAGTAACTATCGTGAATTCTTTCACATCTAGTTCCTAAGTTTTCAGTCGGCTGTCACTTGTAATTTTTAGAGTTAGGAAGCCGGTGCCTATTTTTTTTTGTTTTTGTTTTTTTGTTTTTCGAGACAGGGTTTCTCTGTGTAGCTTTGCGCCTCTCCTGGAACTCACTTGGTAGCCCAGGCTGGCCTCGAACTCACAGAAATCCGCCTGGCTCTGCCTCCCGAGTGCTGGGATTAAAGGCGTGCGCCACCACCGCCCGGCTCCGGTGCCTATTTTCCCATCAGTTTTATACAAGCTTTGTCAACAAACTAAGTATCTCACACTATATATAGTGTGCGCTCATTGTAACATTCACCAAAAGTTGATAATTACATTTAATCCATGAAAATTCGAGATGATCTCAGAATAGTTAATGACAAGTAGGTCAGACTACTCTACATACAAGAACAATTAAAAGTTATTACTATGGAAATTTAACTTTTCCCCTCCATTTGGTAGATTTTATAGCTACCATAATTCTAGCTTGCACCAGATTTTCAACTCTAAACCAACCAACCCAAAAATGGTATAGATCTCCTGACACCTCCTCATCCTACCAAAAAACAGACATAGAAAAGAACATGGGATAAACCGAAAACAAAACAAAACACCCCAAAACCCGTAAGCAAGCAAAGTGTGGCAAACAAGCGCTCAGGTCAGGTCAGGTCAGCTCAGGTCGGGCGGCACCCAGCCTGGGTGAGCAGGACAGGGGATGGGAAAGTGGAAGCCGGGCGATGGAACTCACCGCTCAGAATCTGCTGTACCGCTTCATTGCCCATCTGAGCTGCTGTAAAGCCTTGCAGGGAGATGATGGAAGGGTCGGAGCCATAACTCAGCAGAAGGCGGCAAGTCTGCAGATGGCCTGCTAAGGCAGCTCTGTGCAAAGCAGTCTGCCCAAGACTGTCCAGTGCATTCATCTGAAAAATCATTGGGTGGCACGTGAAGTCAGGCATTCTTTCCCACTGTAGCAAATACACTCTTAGGATAAAAGCCAACAGTAAAACTTTTTGGGAAAACGGCATTAACTTTTGCTCACTAGTGCTACAGAAATAGCTTCATCTTAGTAGCCTGAGTGTGGGGGGAAAAAACTAAGACCACAGAACACCCTGACTTCCCTGACATCTTCCCGCCACACTCCACTCAGAAGAAAGAATGGGAGGTCTTGGAGGGCAGGGACTCTCACCTGGTGTTCACTGCTGGCCACACTGGAGACACCCACCAAACGTCTCAAAATGAACGGCGTGATCACACTCAGAGTACCAAGACAACAGACTACACATGCAAAGACTGATAATGTAGTTTATTACACTTCTTTTTCATTTAGGAATGCCTTATATTCTGGTTGAGTATGCGTAATCAGAGGTGTTTCCAATTTCAAATTGTTTTATGTTTGAGGGTATCTGTACATACATAATGAGATATCTTGGAAATAGGATCCACATCTAAATACAAACTTAATTTGTTTCACATGTACTCTGTACACATAAGCTGTGTGCCTGTGTTGTGATTGTGGTGTATTTCATGAGGTCAAGTGTGAAATTTTCCATTGTATGTTGATAATTCAAAAGTTTTGATTTTGGAGCATTACAGATTTCCTATTTTCAGGTCATCGATGCTCATCCTGCAACAGATACCTTAATTAAGAATACATTTGACTGGGAATTGCCTTGAGGATTAGATGTTCCATTTTCAAACCTTTAAGAGTGTATACGGGAAACAGTAATTTAGTTACGTTGAGTAAATGTTCAGCTTTTCGGTTATGTTCATTATTTGGTCATATCTAACTAGTCTAGCATTTTAGAATGTTCCAGTAGACTCCAGTCAGATCAACTGTACAGCTGCTTTCAGAGAACCCCTTCTCCAAGTCCTCCGTCATCCCTTGAGGCCTCAGCAACTAAGCCCCTTTCTGAACGTCTGTATTGACTTAACACTTAGAAACTATACCACTGGGGTAACTTTTCATCGAGTTTAATTAATGCTGTTGGAAATATGTACTGTCTTCTTGAAAGGCCTGAATAAGGGAATAACAGTAAAATCTCAGATTTTTGCTGGTTGTTCAAAACATTTTTGCGCCTCCCACATCCGTAAGGTTAGGGTTTAAGAGAACTGGTCTCTGTTTCCAGTCCTTCGTCATTACTGGTAGGGCACTGGTTCAGATAAAGGTTTGCTTAAATTCTTAATGGTTTTCAGAAAACTCACCATTAAATGATATCACAATTAGTTCTATCATATTTTCCAGCAGGAAAAAATGACTTTGTACATAGTAACAGTGAAGCACTGTTGTAAGTATTTACTTCTTAAGGGAAAACACAAGATACCAAACCAGTTTTTGTATGAATGTTACTTCATTATAGAAGAATACACTCAGAACTGCAAACATCCTAATTATTCACACTTTTCTGGAAATCAGATGAGACATATTCAATTATACAGCTGTAAAAATGAATGGCAACAATGAACTCAAATTTAGTTTATTATATCATGTAAATATGGTTTGAGAGTTATTCTTGTAAAATACAGATCTTACCAAGTTAAGATCTCAAATTAATGACTCTAGTCCTTTAAATAAAGCTGAATCCTTAGCAAACAAATGCTATGGGCAAGAGAGAGGATTTAAAGGTTTTCTGCAAACTTAAGACCAGCCAGCTTCGCCTGCACTGTTGAAGCAGATCAACAGAACACAAAGAACATACTGCACCTTCTGTAAGTAAAAATTGTGGGACTGAGTGCTATGTAAAACAGCTCATTCACATCCCCATCGCTCACTTACTCTGGGGAAGGAATTTCATGTCTTAATGAAAAAACTTTATGTGCCAACGGTTCTCAGAACTAATTTGTAACACAAATTTTTAAGACTTAGTTTAAAAACTTCCATTTGATAAGGACTGACTGATAATACTGGAAACTGACAAGTTGGTCATACTGATATTTCATGTTCTCTCTTCTACCCCTATGAGATATTTAATCATTCCTTTAGGTGAGGCTTATTCTTCTGATATCTTGGAAATTTTCATATCTATAAAGACACCAATGCAATGCAAAACTGTTTATTTTTACACACACACAGACACACACAGATACACATAAATTATGAAAGGACACTATCATCCTTTCCTCACAGTCTATCGAAGACTATCTCCGGAACACTACGTCCAGCACCAAGCTGAAGTGACAAAGCTATCCAAGAGCGAAGCACTTGCTCAATGGAGAGCAACAGCAGAGCCCAGAACAACTTCTTGACAGCCCGTCTGTATAGCCAGCCCTCTTAGAGCACTGCTGTCCCGTGCAGGGGAACAGGCAACAGGTTTTCTAGAGGGGCTGGTGAGGAAGGGATCACTTCTTACCAGAAGGCAATGCCACCAGTTTCTCAGGGAGGCCCACACAGAAGGATCCTCACACGTCTGAGGTCTGCCTTGTGTACAGAGCAGTTTCTAAGCTGGCTAGGACTACATGGTAGACTCTGGCCCCACAAACAAACAACAAAAACCCCACCAAACCAAACAACAAAATCTACCCCCACCACTCTTCTCTCCCTGAAGCCCCTAGTCTCACAGCCCCGAGAGCACCCTAAAATGGTTGGAGACCAAGTCATAAGTCCTCACTTTCTCAACAAGTATTTAACACTCAGTGCTAAAAAGATTAGTTTTACTTTTTAGGTCTATTAAAGTGTGGAACTGCCTTCAAGAAGGAAAATGCTTCATTTAATGTTATATACTCAACAGTGCTAGCAACAGTTAAGACTTTCTTAAGCCACATATTTAGAGGTTGCGATGGTCAATTGATTGTGAACATGATTGGACTATGGATGTGACTAAATAGTAATTAGTAAAGCAACCGTGTGTGTGTGTGTGTGTGTGTGTGTGTGTGTGTGTGTGTGTGTGTGTGTGTAGGCTTTTCTAGAGATGACTATATTCTAAGGACTTCAGTTTAAATGAATGTGTTAATCCACTGACAGATTCCCAATCTGAAGGCTACTAAAGAAAGGAACTGTAGAAAGCCACGGAGTGACTGGAGGAGTAGGTCACTTGGGGTGTGTCCTCTGTGCTTGTATCTTCCTGTTAGTACTCCACTTGGACTCCTGTGTGCCATAAGGTGGCTATTCCAGCACGCTGTCCTACCACAATGGACTGAACCTCTGAACCATGAGCAAAATACACTTTTCCCCACTTATGTGGTTTCTGTCAGGTATTTGATCATAGGCACATGTTCAGAAAGTGCTATAGAATCAGATGGAAACCATGGGTCATTTAAAAATCAACAGGAATCACAGAAAGAATACACTAAGCAAGGAAAACATGTAGCAAAGAAAAATTTTTACTAACACATGAATGACTGAATGCACCAACCCTGTGGGATTAGCATGCTACCTTGGGATCCAGGAATGAGAAATGGGGAGTTAACACAGCTTCTTCCTCCCCCTGCCCCCATCTCTTTCTCCTTCCCTCCCACACTCTCTTTTGGCTTCCCTGGAGCTTACTATGCAGATCAGGCTGGACTCAAACTCATCAAAGATCTACCTGCCTCTGCCTCCCGAGTGCTAGGATTAAAGGCATTTGTCACTACACCTAGCATGATAAGGTTTGAGGTCTACTGATGGCAACTTGTATTGTTTGTGTCTTTAAAGGAACCAATAACACTTACTCTCTGTAGGGAAGACAGGAAGGATATAGTACCTTAGAAGTCATTCTGCATCACTGGCAGAATGTTTTCAATCACAGAAGCCCACTGCTGAACTAAGATGCTGATAATGAAAAGGCATTATGTACATGAACGGCCAATCTTAGACCTACACGATGTCACTGAAATGGACTATAAAATAAGGCTATTTTTCATATGTTTTTCTGAAATAAAATGCCTTACCGGTAACAACAAATAAATAATATTTAAAAAAATTAAGAACATTATTCATGGTTTGTATGAGTATTATAAATGTCATAAAATACTCAGACCAGCACAAAAATAATGCTCACAAGTATAAGAGAAAGCCCACTTAGGTTATTGTTATTTCTGCTTGACATAACATGTTGTTTATATAACAATACCATAGTTGTAGCTACAAAGTATGTAAGAAATTTGTGCAACTTCTCTTTAATTCTAACTCATCTTGATCTTAATAAAAAAAAAAACACCAAATGTCCTTTTAAAGCAAAATTTTGGATCACATGCACTGTAAATGAGAACATATAATCCTATTCACTTGTAAAAGTATAATCAAGTAGTGTAATACTAAAACACTACAAACAAATCTGAGGCTTATGTAATGCAAGGGGAAAAGCAAAAGGCAGGAAGGATAATTAAAATGGAAAGAAGTTTTTCAATTGAGGTGTGTTACGTGTCTCTGTATGGGAATGTGCATATGGGTGTAGGTAGCATGGAGGTCAGAGGCTTCCTGGAGCTGGAGGTACAGGAAGCTGTGAAATGCTCAACATGGGTGCTAAGAATGGAACTCAGATCCTCTGCCAGAGATGAGCCATCTCTCCAGCCCCTAAATCTTTTCATCTTACAAAGAATCATGATGTAGGGATTGAGGGTCTGGTCACTGCTTAGCTGTGATACTTGGTTTCATCAGCTATTACTAATGGAAGAGATTTCATACACATGTGGAACTCATCAAAGAAATATATTAACTACATTTACTAAATAATGTTTTTACTTGTAATGTGATTATGTAATTAAACTGAAGTTTTCACTAAAAAATCTGATAGTCAAATTTCATCTTTCCTTATGTTCTTACAAAAACCACCTAAATACCAAACAGGAAATAATTATAAATAGGTTAGAAGATTGTGTTTTAATGGTTTTTTAAATTATGAAGTTATGATGGGTGGGTATGCTGATTAGTTTGTGTGTGTGTGTGGGGGGGGGTTGTCAAAAGTTAACATCATCTGGGAAGAAGGACCTTCAGTTAAGATGGGCCTGTGGGCAGGCTTTGGGGCATTTTCCTGATTAATAATTATTTTAGGAGGCATTGTGCTCATTGTGCATGGTGCCACTTGGGGCAAGTAGTTCTGAGCTGTATAAAAATGCAAGCTGAGCAAGGCATGGAGAACAAGTCAGTAAGCAGCATTCCTCCATGACCTCAGCTCCAGTTCCTGCATTTCAGGTTCCTGCGTTACTCCTACACATACAATAAAAATAAACCTGAAAAAGAAAGTTGACTGTATCATTGTATGGATTCTAATATTAACTTAAAAATGGTATAGGTTGCTGGGAACCCAGCTGAGTGGTAGAGCACTTATCTAGAATGTGAGACCCCAGATTCAATCTATAGCACCACAAAAATAAATCCCCCCCCATAATGTACATTTCCATGTTTTAAAAGTGTCTTATTTTTACTTATGTGTATGTGTATATCTGTGTGGGTATGTGTGGATATATGCTGCGTGTGTGTATGTCCCCAGGAGGATGCTGGATCCCCTGTAGCTGGAGTTACTGATGGCTGTGAGCTGTCTGATGTGGATGCTGGGTACTGACCTTGGGTCTTTTCCAAGAGTATCAAGTACTCTTGCCTACTGAGTTACCTCTCTGCCTGTTTTTGTAGTTTTGATATGAAGTGTCCCCCAACAAGGCTCATGTTGGGGGTGTGGTTCCCAGACAATGGCACTATTCGGAGAGTTTCTGAGAAGATGGGACGTGGTTGGATGACACAGGTACTGGGGGTGGATCTTTTAAGATGGCTTATTCCTGGTCCTGTGCTATCCTGCTTTCTGCTTCCTGCCATCTACAGAGTGACCACCACTCCTATGCCACATGCTTCCACCATCATAGCTTTCTGCCCAACTGCACAGGGCCAAGTGACCACAAACGAAACCTTCTAAGATCATGAGCAAAATCATTCCGGAGTTGTTTCTGCCAGGTGTTTGATCACAGGGATGAGAAAGTAACCAACACAAATATAGAGCTGAACTGTATTTCAGAAGACTCATGTCAGCTGCCTAGTGCTTTCTAGGAGATCAGAAGAAAGGACAAAGAAACATTTTATCAGAAAAAAAAAATTAATCAACTTCATAAGACAACCTATGGCTTTAAAGACAAAACCCAGGAACCACCTAACTGTTCTTCCTGATGAGGAGGAATTTCTTGGGGACTCAAGTATTGAGAGCAGCCGGCTGCCGCACACTGAGTTTGGGCTTACCTTTGCTCCATGCTTATGCAGAACTTCCATGACGTCATTATGAGCTCTTTCCGCTGCGACATGCAAAGGAGTCATGAAACTGGGAAGGAGAAAAGGGAAAGAGACTTTGGTAACTTCTACTGTGACAACTCCCAGAAGCTAACAGCTGCTGACAGAAAGCAGGCATTTTCTTCAGTGGTGTGTCCACTGCTAAGTTGCCTATGCTCATTCAAGTAACCCTAATTAGACTTAGTGAGTCAGAGAAAAGCAAACCAAACCAGGCCAAGAAGAAGACATGAATCTAGGAAGGGGACCTGTGAGGTAGACGGGGTCCACAGTGGCAGGGAGTGGAGTGGGCGGTGGTGGGGCTGAAAACGATCAAGTTACGTTCCGCAGCACATTACACATCAGTCAAACGAACGAGAAGGAAAGGGCTGGGCAGCTCTTCTGTAAGGACACTTACTCCTTGTTTTTTTCATTGACATTGGCTCCTTTCCTTAGTAGCAGCTCTGCCACTTGCTTTCGTTTGGGATGCAAGGAGGCCACAGCACAGTGCTGCAACACAAACAAAAGTCAGTTTAAGAAGAGCAGACTTGTATTTAAACGGGGACTCCTGAACGAAACTGCAGCTGGGAGCTATTTGGAACACTGTAATCTCAAAATGTAGCATGGCATAATGATGCATTTTACTCTATGGAGATGGTCAATATTCCCTTTAAACACATTGGGAGTGCAAACCAAGCGAAATTATATTCTCAATTAAGCATTAAGAGACTTCATTTCTTTTTCTTTAGTCAATAAACACTACTAAGCATATATTCCATTGAAGGCATTAGAACACTGCTTTTTCAAAGCTGTGGAAATCTATATTAAATGACTCAAACCCTTATTGGTCTATCAGCCACAAAAGTCAGGGTTTCTTCATTACTCCATTGAGAGGATAAGCTGATTTGCTCAGTCATTGGTGAAAACATGTGACCTTAAAGCAATTTAAAGGAAGTAATAGTCTCAGGAACTTCACATTTTATCCTCATAGTTATGTAACTTTTGTATTTTGCTCCATTTTGCATCAATGATTGTATTAACATTTTAAAAACGAAAACTGCTCACAAGTGAGTAGAGTAACTACCCCAGAACAGCCGAGTGAGTTCCTTAAGGCTGGGGATTATGCTCTGTGACTCTTAACCTCCTGGCTTAGCACTGTGTAGACTGAAGCTATTTGAACTGGGGTTGATGGTTTTAAATTTAAGTTGGTCCATTTCAATTTGGTTAATCTTTTAACAGTGTTTTCAACAGAATGGGCTAAATGACCTTTCTGAGCCACATAGGTTTAAGGAAGTTAAATGAAGCATATTTAACAGTCTATGCTATAAAAACCACATATGCTTAAATTTTGAAGTTAGGGGCATACACTAACCAGACCAACACCTGTGCCTAAATGTATCTAATGACATAAAAATAAGTGAATCTTTCTGAGAGAGTACTAGGAGGAAAAAAAAAGGATAATTTTAAAGGTAATTTATACATCCAGGAACAGAAAGTTCAGGTGTACTATTTCCTCACATGAACATAATCCATTATTTGAATGCAATTACTCCAGAGGATGATGCAAATATCTATGACACCATATTTTCTAGAGAAAACAGATAATATTTATCTAGTAAGCATACTCCTAAAGAAAAGATCCTATCAGCTCACATTTTGCATTATAATGAAAGCATTGAGCACAAAAGTAATTTGTCACAATAAGCTTGGGTGGATACAGAGACAGAACAAGTCTAAAATCACGGCTGAGCAAATATCTAATCCCTCACCCACAAAGAATCATGAGCAAACCCAAGTTAAAAATCAGTACAGCCACCATTAAAATGCAAATTGCTGGCATTTCAGAGAGTAGGGCACTTTCAGGTTTCTGAACTGAAAGCATTATTTAATGGTGCCCACTGTTACCGACCAGGGATGTATGGGTAATGCCCTCTTACCAGTGCTGTTTCATGAGACTGCGGCTGCTTGAAGTTAATGATTTCCAAAGCAAGGGTTTTCTTAACTTTTGCCAGGTCTGCTTCTCTGGCTGCTTGTAGTAAAGAATGGCCTTTAAATTCATCTGCCAATGAAATAATAGTTATTAAATAAAAATAGTTATTAAATAAAAATGACATATAGTTTCAAAAGTTATAATCAACACTGGAAGGTATAATTTGCACACCTACAGTCCCAGCATTTGGAAGGCTGAGGCAGGAAGAGCACAAATTAAAGGCTAGACTGGCCTGCAAAGTGAGTCTGAGGCCAGCTTGTACGAGACTGTCTCAAAAGGCCAATACATATAAAAATACACATACACACACACAAAAATCAAAACTGTAAGTAGGAAAATTACTGACTTTGCATACATCTCTATTTTACTTCAAATAGTAATATAAAATCATGATGATATAAAGAATGCAGGTATAGGTTAAGGAAAAGTTTGGAAATATAAATACTGTGAAATGAGCCTTTCATATTCTCAGAGCTGATGGCAAGTCACATACTAAGGCGGTTATGTGGGCAGCCAAATCATTGTGAACACACACTGGAGTGCTGTTCAGCTCTTACACAGAACAGAGACCTTACACAGTGTCAAGGAGAAGAGACAGGAGGAGCCTGTTTCTTACACTGTTACTGTTCTTGCTGTCCCGCCGCCATCAGAACTAAATGGAAGTCACAGATCAGAAAATGGTATTTAGAGAAATAGTCAAAATATTAACAGCACTTACTCTTGACACAGAACTGAAATGTTTGAGAACTGCCAGAATTTGAAAATTTTCAAAGAACAATAACTACATAAGAATAACTTTAGATTTTTATTTTCTATGTTACAAATTTAGTTTTATTTTATACAATTTTATTAACAAAGCTGAAAACTGTTCCAAAAATACACAAATGAAGTTTGAAACTAATACATAACCATTTCAGCTGTTCTAATGTCTGGACCTATGCATCTACATGATACTGTGCTGTTTCTTCTTTCTTGTGAGGACCTCACCACATTCCTCTCTCTCAAAAGACTGAGAAATGTACACAGACATCTACTCAAATACATCACGTGCCGTATGAACCACCAGTCACTATTGAAGGCCTCCGTTTAGACACTTTGGACATGCCTCCCTATCTGCCTTCACTGAATACTTACAGTTAGGACCACAGCAGTTGTAATAACTTAGTACCATTGTAATATTTACTCTTCACAGTCCTTATCATTTAGTACAGAGTTTGGCACATAGTAGGTTCTCAATAAATATTAGTTGTTATTAATAAGTTGTGTTAGTTCAGGAAATAAATCATTTCTAGATGACCTTTTATTTAACATTTCCTTTTTTAAAAAAAGTGTGTGTGTGTGTGTGTGTGTGTGTGTGTGTGTGTGTGTGTGTGTGCGCGCGCGCGCGCGCGCTACAGGGTATGTGCAGAGGTCAGAGGATAACTTTTAGGAGTTGATTTTCTTTGTCCAAAGTGGGTTCTGAGGAATCAAACTCACATCATCAGGTTTGTGTGGTAAGGGCTTTTACTGGCTGAGCCATCTTGCAGCCCTATTTTATGGTTCTTTAACATTGTTAAATTTCTCAGTGTGAGACTTTAAAACTTCTGGAACAAAACACAAAGTTAACTGAGATGAATAAAGTAAACCAGTCAATATCAATAGCAAAATTAGATGTTTTGATTTTAATACTCTAAGTAGGGGGGCTGGAGAGATGGCTCCGTGGTTAGGAGCACTGGCTGCTCTTCTAGAGGACCTGAGTTCAGTTCCCAGCAACCGTGGCTCCCAACCATCTGTAATGAGTCTGGTGCCCTCTTCTGGCCTTCAGGCAGACATGCACACATGCAGACAGAGCACCGTATACATAATAAATAAACATTAAACAATGCTCTAAACAGGACTACTGAAGCCAGGGAACTACAGGCAGAGTGAAAGGGCAGGGTCCTGACAACTACAAAGGAGTGGGTGCCTTCAGAAGGGACAGCAAATGAACTGGAGAGCTTGGCTGGCGTGAGCGGAGAGAACTGAAGCCCAAGGCAGGTGACGCCATCTTGAACGACAAGCAGCCTATCAACAGCAGCGTGACACAGGCAGTGTGGCCTTTTTCTACTGTATAGTAAGGAATGGTGGCTCAGAAGAAAACAGCAAATGTATGGAAGTGTAAATTGCACCACCGGAGTACCAAGGGAAGAAAGAACTATGGCACAGTAATAAAATTAAAGCCATGCATAATATTTCTTACAGAAAACATTCCTTATCTTTGCTCTTAGAAAAACTGTAAGATCTCTGACCAAATTAATTTTGAAATTTAAAATATTTTATTGAGGAATCATTATGATTAAAAGGCAACAATCCAGGAAGTGGAATGCCTATCAACTATGTAATTGTTCTAAAATTTTAAATGCAAAGGTAACAAAAACTTATTTTTAAAGTTTTATTGTTATTACTATTTTTAATTATGTGTGTCTGTGTCCGTGTGTAGGTATGTGCACTTGTGTGGGACGCTCATGGAGACCAGAGATATTGGAGCTGGGGTCACAGGTGGTTGTGAGCCACTTCACAGTTGTGAACAGTCCCACATGGGTGCTGGGAACCCAATCTGGGTCCTCTGCATGAGCCAGAAGCACTTTGAACTTCTGGACCATTCCCTCTACCCCACCCCATGCCAGGTGTTTGTTTTTAGAATATCAAAGACATACAGTTTAAAAGATGTTACAACTACCAATGACACTAACCCAGAAACCTGATAATTTTCGTTATAAAATTTAAAAGTTTGCCTTTCTAAATAGATCTTAAAATAAGAATGAAATTCAAGCTATCTCATTTATTTGGCTTTACAAAAAGAATAAATAAAAATCAAGAAAGGAGGTAAGTATGCAGAATGATGTGGTTGTAATAATGGCATGGTGTAAAGATTATTTTTTTCCTGTATAAACTTCTTTGGGGTGTGTGTGTGGGGTATGTGTGGAGGCCAGATGAAAGCGTCCTGATCCTCTGAGGTAGGGATTACAGGCACATGTAAAATATGCTCACCTTGCTCTGGGAGCACTGAGATCCAAATTCAGTTCCTCAGGGTGCATAGCGAGTACTCTCAACCACTCTCAAGCCTCCTGTATTATTTCCTTTAACAAATTCGTAATGTGAACGCCAGCTACACAGCAGTAAACGGGGCACTGAAAACTGCAGCTACAGCAGATCCCTAAGTTCTTCCCTCCACATAAGTCTCGGTAGAATCTTATTTAACGAAAACTCCTATCGAGAAGGTTGAAAACAGCAAAGAAACTGCTCCCTGTAAAAAGCTACACAAACTTAGGTGAATGCTGAGGTCTACAATAGACTAAGACAACCTAATCAAACAGACTGTCTAGACTCCTAATAAGAGCGGAATAAAGGGGCAATGACGACGTAGGGATAAATATGAGCCATCACATAAACTAAAAAAAGTAAATTAGAAAACAGAACTATCAACTCTGAGTAGAGTCAAATTCAGTTGGCTGACGTTGCTGAACATACAGCATACACAAGAACTACTCTAGGCTGGGGTTAGACAGAGACATGACCCAGATGCCTCACTAAGACACCAGGGATATAGAACAGGTGTCCAAAGGTTGCCCTTTTCCTACAAGCTTACATTTTTCTAAGGAAGCTGGAATACACAGAAAATAACTATATAATCCACTACAGCATGGCGTGAGTGAGTGAGTGAGTGAGTGAGTGAGTGAGTGAGTGAGTGAGTGTACAGTTCTACAAGGCGACAACAAAGGTGTTCCCCAGTCATAACTGGGCTCACACTTGATGAAGTCACTACTCTGACTACATGAATACAATAAATTTCAATTTCTATACCTGATTACAATTTTAGGAAATTTACTCTTTTCATAAAAACTAGCTGAAACGTTGCTTCACGATAAATGGCACGAGTGTCATTGTGAGCACTCTTTCTTGAGGTGTCGCCCAGTAAAGACTTTCTTCCGTGGTTTCTGACTCTTAGTCTCCTACACACAAGGTTGAAGGCAGACCACAGGCAGTTCAAGTTAGGTGGGAGATACCTAGCCTACTTCAAATCTCCAATGCCCGCATGGAGAACTGCATACATGTCAGTCCAGCTGTAACACGACACAGTGTGACAACCTGAATGAGAACCCAATGGAAAGGGGACTCTAGGCAAAACCAAGGCCATCTAGTTAGTGTGGCCTTCAGTTAACCACGTGTCCACGCCGGGTTATTATTAACTGTGATAAATGGGCCCCACTAATGTAAAATGTCAGTAACACAGGAACCGAGATATGCTGTAGGTGAGAATTTTCTGTGCTAGCTATATAAACTTTCTGCATACCTAAAACTACTTGCAGTTTCCTTAAATATATATACACCTATATAATACATATTAATAGTTATGAAGATTATGTCCATCAAATCACTCACCTAAGTCTGGGCCATAACACTCACATGTGACTAAAACTATGACTGCATAACTTTCTGGAGATGGACAGTTAATGTTCAGCATCACCTTTAATTACCAGTGGCAGAAATATGTAAGTTCTGTGAGCCCAGAGCCTTTTGTTTCGGTTTGTATACTGCTGTATTTCTAATGTCTGTCACACAGGAAAACTATATTCAGTAAATAGTTGCTGATGGACCTCACCCTTTAGTTGTCAAAACAAAACAAAACAAAATAACAACAAACCCCCAAAAAACAAAACCCCCAAGACCCCATAGCAAAACACCACAAAACAAAACAAAACATAAACAGAAGCCTCGAGGAACTAACTAGACTCGGGCTTTAAAAATCACATCTTCGCTGGGCGGTGGTGGCACACGCCTTTAATCCCAGCACTTGGGAGGCAGAGGTAGGTGGATCTCTGTGAGTTCAAGGCCAGCCTGGGCTACAGAGTGAGTTCCAGGAAAGGCGCAAAGCTACACAGAGAAACCATGTCTCAAAAAACAAACAAACAAACAAATCACATCTTCGTGTATGTATGTATGTATGTATTATGTATAGTGTATGTGCTGTATGTATAACGTGTGTGTGCGCACGTTAAAAGCTCTTGTGGAATACATGAAGCAAGGCATATGATTAGAAACGACTATGATAAACCCATACACATGTTAGAAGGGGAGAACGTCGTCTAGTTGGAAAACAGCTGGGGTAATGAAGCAGAACTGAGATATTCTCACTATGGCTAGCCACAATGGGCACACAAACACTCACAAGTCAGTCTTTCCCGGAGCTCAGGAGTTGGGGCCATATCGACAGCACTTTTGCCGTGGCAGTTGACCAAGGTCGGATCAGCACCGTGGCTAAGTAACAAAGAACAGACTTCTACACGGTTCTTGGAAGCAGCTTCATGGAGTGGAGTGAACTGCCACAGATCCATAGCGTTAACACAAGCTCCATGCTGCATCAGAAAAGCCCGACATTAGTAACCATCTCCACGGGGGAGCTAACCCAGAAAAAGCATTTCACTGAAAACGTCAGCTATAACCTTCAGAATACAATTGTTTTAAATCCAGCGTTTAAAAAACAGTTTTAGTTGAATGTTCAAAGTTTCTAAACAGTGGAAATATTTTTATACATTATCTTACTGTCATAACATGACTTGTTAAAAAAAATCCACAAAGTATCAACAAGCTAAAAAAACAAAAATCAAGCCAATACTATTCCATATTCTGGATTTCTCTTACCTTTAACAGCAGTTCTGTGACCTCATAGTGTCCATATGAGCATGCATTATGAAGAGGTACGAGTCCGCTAAAGAAAAGAGGAAATTAAAACACTAAAATTCCAAACAGCCATTTGGTTGTGAACTGCTAAAAAAAAAAAATCTAATAAATTCTATTTTTTAAGAATTTATGGAAAGAACTCAAAGCACAGCTTATATCACACCTGTAGTATTTATCTTGTGATCTTTATGCATGATCCATGAAAATAATAAAAACTACCCATCAGAAGAATTAAAGGAAAGACCAATGCATTAGTAAACAATTATCAGTATGTAACAGGCACAGTGACTGGCAGGGAACCGAAATAGTCCTACTTCAATCCACTTTTGTACTACTTCTCAGAATAAGAATTAAATACCCAAACTCTCCTATCAGAGTACCCTTTCTAAGTGAGGTTAGAAGCCACCTTCTCCTGCTGTGTGCTTCTGGACGACTGCCTGTTCTTCACCCATCTGTTTTCAGATATGCACAATAAAACAGGTATACCAGGGCGCCAGGCACTTGTGCCCTTCTCTCCCGGGACACACGAGTCACAGGAGGCACAAAACTTGACAACAAGAGACAGACAGCATGGAAAGGGGCAGATCTGAAATGGATGGATTCTCCTTCTTTTAACTGTCTCAAGTACCGAGTTCATTTCTATGCTTCCGGACACAAATGTGAGCTGAATGAAAGAAGTCTCCCTCTAGGGCATTTCTTCTTTACGCTGTCAATCACAGAAGCCTAACATGATCTGCCTCACCTGGGTAGGGTCAATTATCCTTGACATCTTAAGGCCAGAATATGAGAAATGTTAGCTTTTTGTATAGGACAGAAAACAAATGTCCACAGATCATTGGAAACTAGAAGGAAATTGGTAAGCTTCCAATATTTATCAATTCATAAAGAAAACGACACATTTTTTGTTTCCTATCCATTACTTCCTGTACCAATGTTTATAAGGACCATCTAGATTGAATTAGTTTAAGTGGATTAAAAAAACAACTAAATTAAAAAATCATTTACTCATTATTATAGTTTATTAATAAGAGGAAATTCTCTTACTAGCTACTATACTAGATAATCACAATTTTCAGTATTTTTAAATCTTTCTGAAATGCAATTTAAGAGATGAAAATGATAACTGTGAAAAATAATTTCAAATAGAATCGCAATAAAATTAAATTGGTCTAACAAATGATTGTGAGAAGTCTATAGTACGTACATAAAATACGACCTGAGATCAAACCAGAGAACATTATTTTAAATTTATTATTATTCTACATGTATGGTGTTTGCCCTACATGTATGTCTGTATCGCATGTTTATGTACCTGGTGTCCACAGATGCCAGAAGAGGGCACTGAGTCCTGTGAAATGGGAGTTAGACATAGGTGTGAGCAGCCCTCTGGGTGCTAGGAATGAAACCCCAGTCTCTCCAGCCCCAATGAACATTCTTAATGAGCTAAAACCTTCAGACTATCAAATGATGAAAACAGCATAATCATCCATCCATGAAATCCTCAAAAGGCAGAAATGGCTGCACCTACCCTTTGTCTTTTGCATGGACATCAGCACCGTGCTGCAGAAGCAGCTGAACTATCCGAACTCTGTTGTAGCCTGCTGCCAGGTGCAATGGAGTAGACTGAAAAAAAGAAGAAGAAGAGCGCGTCACCTCTTCAGGTTTGCTTTTGTAAAGATGGCCTTGGTCCCCACTCAGCTTATAACCACACAAGGGATGATCCCCCTTCCTAGAGAGAGAACTCCATCTCCAGCGTTATCTGCAAGGCTTGATTCTGGTCTGTCCACATCAAAACTCCTGTCACCACAGTGACAGTGCCCAGGTGTAGGGCCTTCAAGTGAGGGGACTGCTTTTCTCAGGAGGTGAGTTAGGGCTCTGGAGGCACTGGGCTGGTATTATAAAGGGAGCTTTCGAGAAGCAAGTCCCGCTTTGGCTTGCTCTCTTGTTCTCCCCCTACATGACCTCTCCTCCTGGCCTCCTTCCCTTCCCTGTCACACACACTTACTCACTCCTGCATGATGCAGCAAGGGGCCCATGCCAGACGCTGGCATCATGCCATCTGGATCTTCCAGTCACAGAGTTACAAACCAAACATGCTTCTCTTTATACATTCCTCGGCATCTGTTTATAGCAGCACGGAATAGCTAACAGACCCCATCTATGTCCCTCACTGGGCCTCAAGGGCTCCAATAATCAAGCTCTACCCTGCAAGCCCTGTGCTGCTTCTCTCTTCTTTTCCAGCATGAACCACTCTTACTTATGCTAAGTAAAGGTCCTAATCCCAGTAACTGGAAATGTAAGAATCTAACTTTCAAACTTTAATGGGAAAGACTGAGGAGCATCCCTGAAGAACTCTTTGAAGACGCTCTAGTGGAAACCAAACAGACAGTACACTTCATCCATTCCCTGGGACTTGTAGCATCTCCACTGGCTGCCCACTATACACGGCTTCTGATGGGAAGCTCCCTCCAGAGACATACTGCTGCGGACGGCTGCTCAGTAAGCCAGCAAAGCTGTTATCTGGCAAAGCTGACATTTAATATTTTGTGGGAAAGGTGGCAATTGAATTGACTATGAGCAAAAAAGATTTTCCTTTTTTATAATGCCCTTTACAAACTTTATTTGTTCATAGTTGATTCAATACTTCCCATTTCCAAAATTGAACAAATCTCCAAATGACAATATATACACTAATTTTAATAGTTTATGTAAACAGTCAAAATTCAAGAAAAGTCAGTTTCCTACTTTTTAGATTTTTAAGAAATTCTTTGAGTAAAATTATGATGCTTCAAAAGTGGTGATATGCTTAGTTTATAAACGGTTGAAACATTTATAAATTAGGAGGCTCTGTAACTGATCAGGTAAAAAATGAGAGGATGCCTGAAATAAATTGGCTGTAAAAAAAAAAAAAAAATGGAGTTAAGGAATTTCAAAAGCTTTTAAGAACTGGTGGCCCTGGTAACTTGACTCAAGTAGACAGTGAGAAATATGATAGTGTCCGGTTTGCATTGAACCATGACAGAAGGAAGCAGAGGCAAGGTGGTAATGGACAGAACTGGGGGCTAGGTTAATGAACTGAAAGGGCTCCCACATGTTATGGTACCATTTTATGATATGCTCTGAATGTGGGTGGCATCATTCTCATCAGCAGGGACCTGGACTGGTGTGATGGAGAGAACAGTTGAGCATGGACATGCATACAATCATTCTGCACGAGCTGTCCTGACCTCACAACGAAGGGCTGTACCCTGGAACTGTGAGCTAAATGAAACCCTTTCTCACCTATGCTGCATTTCTCAGGCCATTTTATCACAGCAGCAGGAACAAACTAAGACAGTCAGACCCTGACATTTCACCACGGGCATGTGTGCTATTCGATGTATTTCCTAGGGAGGACTAAAACCACAACTGTGAAGTGCTGGTGTAAGGCACCTGAGAGCTGTTTATTTTCTTTAAGATGAGGATTCAGTGGGGCTATAGTAAATCCTCTGGAATTTCCCAAGCAATGGTGACCAACTTGTTTTGGTCTGTCCAGGACTTTCCTGGCTCCAGGAAACGCACTATAGTCAGGACGCCAGGAAGATTTAATACTGGTCAAACTTCTTAGTGTGTAGAGGTACCAAAGCCAGAAAGTGTGTGTGTGTGTGTGTGTGTGTGTGTGTGTGTGTGTGTGTGTGTGTGTGTGTGTGCTTACATGTACATGCATTCCTAGGAGGATCCAGTACTTTAGACTACTATGAAGAGTCAGTTCAAGACAATGAAGGCTACCCATTTTGTCATCTAATGTGTTATTTCTTTCAGAGACTCAAGCACAGTCCCTCTTAGCTCCACACACCTCACAATACAGGATGCTATTTAAATTCTTCCTCCAGATTCTTGTTCTATAGTTTCAACTACAAAATGACTCTGTAAAATAAAGTTTCATAATTTTTCAACACACAAATATGAAATCTGTTTCACTAAAAATGAGTTTAGAGAAATATTAAACACCCATGCATTCCTTTCTCATATTTTAATGGTCACTAGCTGGTGTGACAGTGTTCCACGGACTTCTGTCATCTCTTGACCACATCTCCTCCCCACCTCCTAAGTATTCTAAAGCAAACTCAGACACTGGCAACTCACTTCCACACATTCCACAGATGGCATTTTCTTTCAGACTTCCAGGTTATTATCAAATCTAACAAAACAGAGCTTATAATCTAATGTTGGTGTCAATATTCCGATTTTATGGTTGTTTCTATAAAACTGTTTGCAAGAATCAAGATTAATATAATTGGTTACTGTGTCTTGTAAATTTCTCAAATCCAAAACTGTCTTCATGCACCCTGATTTTTGCTGTTGTTAAAATAGTACCCTACTGAAGAGAATGCCTTTTGTCTGTCTCCTTCCTAAGGGGATGAGCTGTGGCTACATCTATGTTGTTTATAAACTGGGACTTAACTTTCCTCCTTCAAATGACCGTCAACTTGTCTCACCCATTACTACGCCGTTTAGAGAGCACCCGCATCTCTCACCCATTACTACATAAGAACCCCGGCAGGAGACCGAGCTTTCAGTTAACCTTTGACGTTAGCGGTGAGACTGCTGAGTGTGCTATCAGCTCTGCAGCCATGCTTCTATCACTCTACGAGTTTGGATGTTGTCTCACTTTTAAACTGTGTCTTAGAAAAGCTGCACATAAATATGAACAAATACAAAACCTGAAAATTCAACTTTTTTGATCTATAAAATCATGCCTTTCTTTAAGTCTGGCTTCAAAAGTGAAAATATAATAAAGTATTTTCTCAATTCTAGCTGGTCTCAGATGATCACTTTCTTTATAAGAACATTTTCTCCAGGGTAGAACTCCCTTTAAATGTATAGAATAAGGTAATCGCTCCAAAGATTTCAGCAGTGCAGAAAACATGGTTGTACTCCTCTGCAGCCCAGCATGCCCTTTCCCAGGTGATCCCAGTGCCAGCTGCTCGTGAGTCCTTGGAGAGTCTCTGTGTCTGTGTCTGTGACAGTGTGTTTGCTTTCTCTGAGTTCATTTGTGACTGCTTCTGTCACACACACTAATAGGACTGCATTACATTCTTCTGTGATTTGATTTTTTTCTTCCTAATGTTATCACAGAGAAGTCTGTCTTATTCTTTGTAATGACTATACAGTATTTCTATTGTGTGGCTGTACCATGATTATTTACTCACTGCCTATAAATGAGTATTTAAGTATTTCAATTCTTGCTCTATTTTATCAAAGCATATCTCATTTGGATCTATTATTTGGTTAAAATAGATCAGTGTTTCCCTGATACAAATAAAATACTACACCAGCCATTAAGTCAAAATTCCTAGACAAGCACAATAAACACAATCAGAGCTTTATTAAACTTCTATCAACAGAGACATGATTAATCTGCTCTGACGGAAAGCTTTAAGGAGCTCTTTGAGACGCTGATACTTAGATGAGAATCCAAACAAATTAAAAGCCAGAGAATCAATATGGGCATGCATCCCTAGAAATAAGTACATCTCGTTACTGAGACTGACTTTTAAGTAGTATAATTATGAAGATCAGCATCCTTGAAGTTTCTTAACTCTTTTGACAAAGTGTGTGTGTATTAACTGGTTAACACAGTAAGTACCTGGGTTTGAAACTATTACCAGCATAGAACAAATGAGCAGGGAGATAACAGTAGAGAGAGGGGACCAAATCCAGGAAGGGTGCCATCATTCTCATTCTGCATTCCTTCTTTTCCATCGACTAAAAGCTCAGACTCATAGAGGACCTTCAGAAATGGACCAGTGTGGCTGAATAGCAAGGAAGTATTTATGGCTAGGAGCTTGTTGGTTCTAAGTATGTCAGCACTCAGATTCTCGGATTGCTACAATGAACTGTATGCACCAACAGTGAGACCGTACCATTAGGATGAGCACCCAACCCAGAAATGCTGGGCTTCTTTACAACAGCAGCTGCCTACTACAGGACCAGGGCGAGTAAGAAAACTGAACATGGAGAGCGGTTTTCTTCTGCTTCCTTCCCACAGCAGCATTTTTTCCACAGTCCCCGGGAAGATGGGCACTTCCATTCTCCAAGTAAGCCCCTCCAACTGCGTCAACTACTTGCAGAACAACTTCCTGGCTACTCTGATTGGTCAGTATCTCTTCTCAGACACCCCAAATTGGTGCTAAATCTGGATACAAACTGAGTTCTCACCCAGGAAGATCTCTTTAAAAAAAAATTATAGCCAGGTGGTGGTGGCACACATCTTTAATTGCAGTACTCAGGAGGGAGAGGCAGGGGAACCTCTATGAGTTTGAAGTCAGCCTGGTCTACAAAGCAAGTTCCAGGACAGCCAGGGTTACACAGAGAAACTCTGTCTTGAAAAAACAAAAAAGAAAAACAACAAAAATTCACTTAAGCACAACCTGTTGGCATTATTCCTTGAAAAGGTTTCAACTCTGTACTGAGAGGCTAGAGCAGCTGTCACTTAAGAGCCTCTTCCTTGTAAGTGTCTGTGGATTCTAGACGGATTCCATCAAGAGAGACAGAGGGGTGACTGGAGCCTGTGGATCCTTGATGGATTACATGAAGAGAGACAGAGGGTAACTGGGGTCTGTGGATCCTTGATGAATTAC